GTCCCACGTTTCCTTTCGTGGTGAAAACCAAATTGAGCCGTAGCCGTATACTGACACCTCTGTTATGATTCGGTATTGCATTTGTCTCAGTAATACACTTCACTGTTGGTACGTTCTTTTGTCGCAACGTGAAGGGGGAGATTTCCCAACTTCAAAATTTCATAATCAGAAAAAATATGTTTCCTAGGTGTTTAAGACAAATTTTAAATGAAAGCTCACTTCCCCATATTTCATTTGCCTTTCAAAGTTCAGTGATGTAACCGGTGACTTTCGAAGATATTTCTCTCCAGAAATAGTCACCCCTCAAAATAATCAGGAGGCTCATCGCCATATTGAAAATCGATGCCCGCCCTCCATTGCTAAAATAGAGCGATTCAGAGGGCCTCGTTTTGTCCGATACTTTCAGAAATACAAACCATCCAGCCACGTGCCACGAAATGTCCTTATAACCAGAGAATTTGACAGCATACAAATCATGATTCGCTCCGCGCATGCAATTGTGGGCCTATTTACTGGCCTGCATCCTTATACGATTATGACTTGTACGGATTAACATGTTTTGTTTGGGGTGCAGTATCTCGCCATTTTAACCCTGGTGAGACTCTTGATGGCAGCAGACAGCCTTCCGAGTAAGATAGAGCATGCGCGTAACTGGTTTCCAGGCCAAAAATGGAGCGCGTTTATTCACCGTTACTCAACTTCTGAATGGCTGGCCAGGCCCACAGTTAACCATGTACCATGTTCACGGTCGAACCGCTACTTATCAAGAACCGGTCGTTTTCGTAAAAAATAAACCCTGTTGAAGGTGTTGATGACGTGAAAAAAATATTGTGAGATAGCAGCAACTATGTTTGTTGATACACGGTAGGAACTAGGAAGCTACTTCGCTATACCGCGAAACTGCATAGCATATCCGGGCTTGCGGCAGAGGAGCATGTGGATTTTTTCTCTGAAACGACTGTCCACTTAGGTATCTTAAGAGGAATCATTCTCCTCCCAAGGAAGGCACTACATGTTAATACACTGTTGGCGTTTCCAATACCTAACAAAATTGGAACTTGTCCCCAGGGGACGAAGTGTCCCTGTGTGTCTTGTTAGATACTCCAGTGCTTAAAGTTAAAGTTTTAAAAACAAAAGAAAGGGGAAAAAAATGAATCATAACTTTCATTGACAGGCCGAGCGATGGTGTATCACTGTGTTACAAGTATTGCTTTTGTTGCTACTTTACTAGACGACTTACTGTCCGTTGAATGCCTCGAGTCGACCGCCTGTTGCTCTGACAAGCACCCCTGTTTTCCACCTTGGAAAGTCATGATTTGCGCGAGGAGACGCTGCAACAGAATTAGATCGCCCGCTGCGCCCAGCCCAAGGGGTAGTTATTTCAGAGGGAAACGAGATCAAAATCGAGTAAATCACCCAGTTGTGAAAATGTAACTGAATCGGCCGTGCGAGAGGTAATCCGATCCAAGGGTCCCGGCGATGCGTTGCCCGGCCTACAGACCGCGCAAACCTGCCGCCTCGTTACGGGAACAATAGCTTAACATTCTCCGTCTCGGTTCCCTCCAGGAAAGATGTCCTTTTATTGAGACGTCATTGATGTTCCGAAGGAACATAAACTAAGCCATTTTTAGTAATCTGCAGTTTTCATATAGAGATGCGAGGCCGCCTGCCAGTTTGCTGACTAATTAGGTAAACCTTACAGACTATAGGTTGGTCAAGCCTCAGCCCCAGAGGTTTTTCATGATGTTCAAAGCCCGTTTTGTTTTTGAAACAGTTCGAAATGACGCACAGTTTTCTTGCATAAGAAAGAAAAGCCGATTGCTATTTCTGTGGAGATTAGTGCGCAAGTTTGAAACTACAGGCCTACTGTTTTAAGATTTATTTCTCTCTTTCACTTTTTTTGTAAAGCTGTATTTTTTTCAAAGTGTTTTCAGAGCCTCCGATTGCCTGTTGAGCACGTGCATCATAGAGTTATCCAACCACTTTTTGGAACCCCAAACGGCCACGCCATCGCCTTCGATAATTATGCATTCGAGACTTCTTCTTTTCTTGACATCGCCTGTTCCTCCACCGACCCATTGGGACATTAAATTAACCACCTCTCGAAATGTCTACATCGACTTCGGCCTTTGAGTCAAAAATGAATACCCGCCTCTGGGAGCATCGCCAATGCGGAGTACCACGCATGTTAACAAAGATTGAGTGTCATTACGCATATGGTTGGCCCGTTGTTGTAGAGAAAGACGCGTTCGGCCGAGCGGACTAACTTTCTCATTTTGATGTAGTGGGGCAACCACCTGGGGTCGGCTGCCGATTGCACGAAAATCCTTTGGGTACGAGCACGCAATTGCTGAAGGTGCAAACGGAATTAGACCAAACATTCATCGAATCTCATAGTTATAGGGCCTACTGCCATTCCCGCGGGTGGGTGGCATGCGGCGTACAAGACCATGAGTCGCTAGTCCCGCGATTGTGTTATGGGGAGGTCAAAGGAAGAAAAAATGGGGTATAGGGAAACGGAAATTTTTCAATACTTGTCTCCACAGCCCTTGCTCATTTCGAACAAAATTTGGGGAAAAATCCATATATGGTGTTTAATGCAGAAAAGTTTGGGGTTCTTATAGCGTTTTTGGTAACCAAATTTAAAAGACTGAACATCATAGGAGTTAACCCGTTTCTACTCATATTTTCTTTATTTTAGCAACCCACCTGATTAATGTTGTGATCTGTGCTAGTTACACTGATGCATCACTGTCGTACAGGTGTTAACTTTATTTGTTTTTAATTGTTTAAAAATGAGAAAAAGTGTCGATTTGACTTTTCAGGTATGTACTGAATGTAAACAATTGAACATTAATTAACATACACACTAGACCGGAATACGGGTGTTTCACAATGGTGCGCCATCAAGAGTTTGCAACGCGTTGGCCAATCACAGTGCGCGAGAAATGTCGACCCAATGCGCGTTCGGAAAAGGTCGACAGATTTCGCGCACTGTGATTGGGCAACGCGTGGCAAACTCTTGGAGGCGAACTATTGTGAATCCCCCCTATTCTTATAGATGTGTTTGAGAATGCAGGTGCTGACGTCAACCAAATCTAAATTTAAACTGGCACTAATCCTTGGCGACCGGCGTGCCTTGCACTTCGTCTTGTTTAATCGTTTATTTATTTTCCCTAAAAGGTCCTTAATTCATTTACATGCGCAAGTGCACTCAATCGCCAACAAGCCAGGATTTTTCCAGCGTGATTATTCTAAGCCTGCCTGACCCCCCGTAGCGGGAACGCCACAGTCCAGTCTTTTTTCGACAGGGCCGTGAATAGCGAGCGTTTCACGGCGAGGACGGTGAACAATAGTCCCAGCTGCACAACACGACATGAACCCGGCAATCACATTTTAATTGCGTTCACCGCCGAAGGTTTGGAAAGGATTTTCTCCCGAACGGGCGGAAATTGTTCACGTTTCGTCGGCGATTCAACAGCGTTGCGGTTAGCCAGGGTATCAAATTCATTCTGTCCCAGCGAAAAATTTAAACCTTTTCACACTTGACTTGTGGAGGTAGCTGAAATGTCATTGAAGTGTTCCATAAGAAATTATCCAAATGCTAGGTTTTGGAATGATGACATATTTCCTCAGGCGACGTGTTTAAAGGCAATATCCACGGCGTTGTCGTAAACATTCCGAAAACGAGCTTATCGTGCGAAGACTTACAACTCAGATTGGTTCCCTGCCGTATCAATGATCTCTGACATCAAAATACTGGCAATTTACTATGCATTTAGTGTTTACGTGTGAGTGTTTAATTTAACACGAGATCTTCGTTCCGGATGTTTACGACGGAAGCGTGGAATCGTGATACATTTCCAACAAACACGTCGCTCGGTAATATGTTTACTTATGCTAAACCCATGAGTTCTGGGCATGAGGAACCTGTAGGCCCTGCGTGGGGTGAAATGTGAAGAAAAAAAGTGTTAAGAAATTATTTTCGCCGTGGCGGAATGAATTTTTTTGAAAATTTATTTCTGTTCATCCGACGGCGCATTTAGGCGCCAGTTACAGGATGAAGTGACAATTATTGGAGAAGAAAATGAAGAAGTGTTCAGTTTTAGAGGTGGAGGAAAACCCATATAGCAGGGAAAGCCCATGGAGTCAGACTGGGGACTGAAAGCCCAATCCACATGCTGACCTAGGTGGGATTCGAGCCCGGGTCGCAGAGGTGGAAGGTGAGGAGCGAGCCACTACACCAACCTGACTCCACACCAACCTGACCAACCTGACTCCCCTGATTTAATAGTAATGATATCTGTTGTAGCGTAACGAGAACGCCATCTAACTCCGGGCCATGTTGCAGTGTCAAAACTCTTTCCTTCTGAGCAAACTTTTGCCGTTTGGTAGATTAAAGTATCATTAGTGATATATATACAAAGGGAAGATTCCCTGACCGTGCAAGTTGCCTTTCACCCATTAACCCCGTCCACTCCCGAACCGTTTCTCTTTTTATCTGTGTGATTTGACATTTATTGTGGGAGGTTATTCGTAAAATGCTGTCGCGGTGTATGTTTCCTGCAACCGTGTGTAACGATCTGACACAATCGTGACACGATTACCTGTAGCCTGACTTTCTTGTTTTCCATCAAGTTTTTTGTTTTCACGAGGGTAAAACTTCTTCAGGTTTTTCATCAACAAACAGAATACCGGTACTGAAATGTTTCAAAGTGGTTAATATGACAGCAGTAAATAAGATCAAACGAAAACACTGTAAGTTGTAATTGGATACAAATTTTGGTAGAAAGTAAAGGTTACTTTTTTCTAACAACCTGCATAAGCAGCTGTCGATATCTCAAAACAATAATTAGAAAAACAATTGAAGCACCGTCTTCTAAGTGCGAATTCAAATTAAAGCTTGATTCGTCTGACTCCAACCAACCATCTCCTTTCACCTTTCGAGTACGCATAAGTTTGCAAATAGCACATGGTTCAGACTTACAGGCTCAACTCACCCTTTGGAAAGACGAAACTGAAGAAACGCAGTCTTTCGAGTTTTTTGACACGATGAAACGACGACTGTGCCGCTCGAGGCTGTCCGGCCGTCACTCTCCGGTACCAAAGACGCTGTCGCACGCTGGCACGACTTCGTTGCAGCCAACTCGATGGAAATAGCTTGATTTCGGCGCGTATATTCTACTTTTATACCGCACGTGTACTGATGAGAAATTTTCGCCTGGTGACACCGTTGCTGGCAGGGGATTGGTCAAGATACCGCATCACGTGGTGTCTTCTTAATGCGCCTGTGCACTAACTCGTCCAGTCTCATTGGGACACAGTTCAGCAATGATCATCGAGCAGATGTGTTATTTACTTTAAGGGTGATATTTCTCACATCGAGCATTTTCCATGGTGAGTTGGGGGTTCGGAAGCTGCGCAGATCATCGCTGAATAAGCAAATCAGCAATGTTTTCATTCTTCTATTTACAATCCAGAAGGCCACTGTCACTGTCTTCAGTATAAACTTTCCAGTGGGGGCGCATTTGGGCATTTTGCGGCGCAGTTTGGGGAAAATGACGGCCGACGCAAGACTCCGCAACGTACGAAATGACGAGATTCCTTCGCGCGCAATTTCGGCTGGACTCTTTGTGAGCGTGTGAATAATGCTGACCGTTTCGACCCACGTGGGTTTCTTTCTGCACGCCCCCCCCCACTGACATCAAAGAACGATGATTACTACACAAGGTAATCGTTCATTAGGCAAAATGTTGACTGTGGTGTTGAGTGACCTCGTTGAAGGACACAGACTCCAGGTCTCTGAATTGATTTGAAGATCTTCCCAGTCATGAATTTTTGGCCCTAAGTGAGCAATTTTTAGTGAAAAAGACGAACTTTAGAGGTCCACTACAAAAAACCGTTCAATTATTATTGCAACAGCAGAGACCATTCTTTTCCGTTTGAAACAAAACACATAATACGGCCGTTTCACAATAGTGCGCCACCAAGAGTTTGCAACGCGTTGGCCAATCACAATGCGCGAAATTTGTCGACCCAGTGCGCGATTGGAAAGGGTCGACAAATTTTGCGCGTTATGATTGGCCAACGCGTAGCAAACTCGTTTGTGAATCGCCCGTATTGCTAACACCGACAACCGAAGTGTGGAGAGGTGCTTACGCTTCTTAAGCTTTGAACCCGAAGCTCTCTCGAGTGGACGGCCGAAAATACCACACTGGCGCGGTGCGGCTCGACATCAACCTGAATGTGCGCCCACCGCGATAATCGCACTATCGCGTTTAAATTTAGTTTTACGCGTAGCTGTAAACGCACTCTTTTCCCTGAGGGGAAAATGAGCTATTTCTCGGGCCTTCTTTAGCTTCAGTTCATCCTCAATGAACTCGAAGTGGCAAACAAATTGTAAAATTATATGTGTTTCCGATATTTGGACCGCTAGGCGGATCACACAAAGGATAATCGCGTTGTCACGTTTCCTCTTTTGAAGGGTTGTCATTCCTTGTTAGCATTAAAAACCGGTCCCATTCACCGACCTCCCTTTTCCGTAAGTCAGCTGTTATGTTGGGCGTAAATTTCAACCTTAAGCCCACTCCAAAAAAAGGTAAAGGACAAGCGAAACCTTAATTATGAAACAAGACGGCTGCATTTTCGTTCCATTCAAATAAAAAAAGACACCGCTCTACTGGAGAAACTAGCGCATCCAAACCAATGCCATTAACTTTTTTTCGCAGTTGAAAATGTCTGGAGTTTTGTTTGGTCTTCTGATATCGTGTTTCTGAACTGCCGGATGTACAAACTAAATCAAAATCTTCATAACATGAACGTTATAGACAACCCATCACCGAACTACTTTTTGCTTGATTCTTCCTTTCATATCCCTCATCATTTCAAACTAGAGTAGGCCATCGGTAATTTGGCTTGGGAGACTGTTTTCGCTCTTGAACGTTTTCCTTATTTATGCCGAGGCGGTACGCCAGATTTAGTTTTCACTCATTACACCAACAAGGTCCACTCAGTGTGTTTAACTTCGCATGCCTTCTGCCTTGTCATTGCCCGGAGGACAGGAGGCCCATCTCAGTGGCCCAAGTCACACCATTAATGCTTACGCGGCAGACACGCAGTGCACAAACGTATCTTGTTGGCGCACTGATTATTTACATCATTTTGAACGCGCGCCCGTAGTCATCCCATCTGCGCTGCAGTCCCAACTGAAGGCGGTGAACCGTAGGTATGCAATGTATTTAGGTCCAGTGTGTGTTAATACCTTTCCCGTTTGAACTCAAATTTAACAAATGAAATTAATTTCTCCCGCTGTAATAACGTCTCCGTTATATCCCTTCTTTTATTGCTGGATATGCATGAGAAGAACCATTTATATCTATACATAACAAGTGGTTGGTTTCAAAATAGAGTTAATTACATTTTAAAATAACTCCTACATTAACCATGGTCGACTGTCTTCACATGAATACACTTGTGTTGGTCACCTCTGTGTCATGTCACAATGACTGATTTATGCTCGCAACGCGTGATAACTTGCACCCTTTGTTCCACTGGCTGTTACTGTCTTGTCTAAATTTAACGCCAAATATTTACAATCATTATCCGACCAACGGGACCGCGCGAAGCGGGGCATCCCGCTAGTAACAACAAAGTAAGTGGAAGTAAGAAGTAGTATTTTTTCCCCGATGACATCGCAATCTCTGGATTTGGACAATTTTCAGACTGATGATGCCCAATAAAGAGACTGACTTCGTGTGGAGTGGCCCAGTGAAGTAGGAAGCAGACACCAACTCATGCCTTCTTTCGAGAATATTTCAGTTATTCCAAGCTACTCGAGTTTGATGGGGATAAAGTCTGCTGGGTTTGCCATTCTATTCAGCGTTATAAGGATAGGAACGATGTATCGAGGCTAATGTAAATGGAACGCACCGTTTGGACATAACACATTTTGTTTGCCTTTATAACGGTGAAAAGGGGACGTTGGCGTAAAAGTCCACACCAGTGTAATTTGAGTGACATTATTCTATCACGTCTAAATTTAACACCAATTATTTACAATCATAACATCCAATGCACAATTCTTACTTAGAGGGCGCCCTCTCCTTTACGCGAAGAACTTTGGTCGTCCCGCCCCTTCCCCCTCGAACAAAATTTCATAGCTAGCCTTTCACAAAATTTGGAAGGATAAAGTTGGGACATCGCCAAGCCGTCTGCCACAAATGGTGCATGTTGCTATGCAACAACGATGTTCGTTGGGGACGCTTGAGATCATTTAGTAGGTCGTACAGTTAATATCGATCATTGAAGCCTTGGGCCGAGACTACCCCTCCCGCCCGGACACGAAATTGCTTTTAGATTGTGGTACATGTATGACAAAGGCGAGAGTTGACAGAGGGCGCCCTGCGCCTAAGCAATAAAGATTTTTCGAATTACCTCAAAGGAATGTTTCTACAGTACTTGTATATACACATTTTGATATCTTAATCGATTATTTTATGCGAACGCGTTCATAAAATTGTAAGAGCAAGTGAGAAAAAAATGAGTAGAATTCTCTGACGCAAATGATGATATCTCACCTTATTGTCACAAACCTTAAGCTTCGATTTGATCTTTTACAAATGGAGGCAGAAAGTATGATTGATTTTCTTCCTTATTTCATAATCGAATTCCCGTGGAATATGAACAACAAAAATTTTCCCAACATAAATTTTCCAGAAAGGTAGTGGGCTCACAAATTGGCTTGTGCCTTGTCCACGCAAACCAGAATCTGCACTGGGCCTTTCTTAATTGATATATATCAGTTTAATACAAACTCGAAGAAATATTCTTTGCTGCGTTTTCTCTGATAAACACGACTGGAAGAAACTTGCGAGAACTGACCTTTCACTGTTATGTCCGCAGGAAGCTTTTCTCATCGACCCAACAAATTCTGTGTAAAAGCCACTGGTTCCCGTTCCTTTGAGTCAGAACTTTAACAGGTAAGCCTCTGGAACCATTTATGGAAGTTTATGGCGATTTTTTTTTGAGAAAAGAGGGGGAACGGCCGAAATTCATTTTAAAAATCTATACAAATATGTTTTCATTTAATCGAATCACGTGCCCGACTGTTTTGGCCCCCATCGCCTCAAAAATATTGACTCTTGACTCCCCCCCCAAAAAAAAAGAATTGAAGATCAAGTATGGTAAGGTGTGGGCACCCCCTCCCCAGGGTCACCGTCATCCTCGTTTTCATCCTCGTCCGGATTGGGGTCGTCAATGTAGATGTCATTGATGCTGATCTGCGAGTACCGCACAGCCTCGTGGGGGTTGAAGTACAACCTCGCTCTCTGGTAGACGACCCACACCCCCAGCAGGATGCCGATAGTCACCAGGATCCCCATGATGACCAGGCCGGTCTTGGCCCTCGCCGTCAGGTCGCCCATTTTCTGTGAAGTGTGGGTAGAAAACCAAACGATGGAGGGTTATTTGCCTATGTTGTCCTCGTGTCTGTATCAAAGTACATGTATTTTGCACCCGGTGTGCCGTTTGTGGGTTTAGCCTGCGTGCCAGGGTCGCTTGCACTCTCGTGCAGGCGTTGACCAAAGTTTCCGGGGGCCGAGTTGCGAAGACAAAAACAAATTCCAATCACGTTTGCAGTCCCACAACATCCTTGTTTCGAAGGTGCGTTGTTTCCTACAACTACGTCAAGCCAGTAACTTTGTCTTGGCAAGCAAAATGTAACTTTCCCCATTCAGTACTTCGTGTGGATGGGCCTACAAGGTGACGTGAGTTTAAAAATTGAGTCACAAAAAGGCTCCAAAATATTGACACCACGATTTCAAAAAATGGCGCCATCAGTTGTCTCCATAGTGAAAGGCAACGGTCCCGACATAAGATAAGAGCATTCCATTTCCTCTAACAACTCCATTTTGTAATGTTCAAAGTAAATTCCGGTAAATTCTCGAGTAAACAAAAACAACCTGTTTCGTCACGCCACTGTTCCCGGAGAGAAACTGAACGATGGACGATCGTCTAACCTCTGGCATCGGTGACGTCAGCAGTGCTTTTATTCTGGAAGTGTCGTTGACGCTTAAATTCCCTGCGATTGACTGGAATAATCTGAAAGAGTTGGAGAATTAAGCCCAGCTTTGAAACAATAAATCATTGTTCCACAGTGGAAACACTTGTTGCATAAATACAGCGTACACTTTATGTAAGCCATACTTAAAAGGTCGTAGTTTTATGTGTTATGTACTGACTCAAACCCATTTTCCAACAGTAAAGATTGATATTTTGAAAATTGTTACAAACTTGTTATTCCGGAGGTAAGTCATGATTGATCGTATAGTTCTTTCCAGTGTCATGTTGTTACCATCGCTATGACAACTTTTGTTGTTAATTTTGTTGTTAAAATGTTAATCCCATTTGTGCGACGTCATCCAGGTTCATCTTTTTTTTACAGCGGCACACTTTCATGTGTTCCATTTCTTGTAGTCAACAGCGAGGGACATGTCTCTTACCTCAGGCTGTCTCCTGCAAACGTCGGATAGCAGTGTTTAAGAATATCGGCGGCTCCTTCCCGAAACTATAGTCAAACGGAAGTGAAATCACTCTGTTTAATCACGTTTCCGTCGTAGTTTTCCTCATAAATCCTGAACTCATGAATTCATTTAGTTCTCACCGGAATTCCAGCATGTACACTTTCTCGTGGAAATCTGTACATTGTACTACATATTAGTAAGGGCTTTATGGAGCAAGACAGTTTTTTGGAGGGAGGTGATTAGATTGCAACCAATATTTATCGAAAAAAGCTCTGAAGTCTCTCTCAAGTCTCAGACCTCAGATGCTCGTCTCACCTTCTTCTCAGCCGGCCCTGACAGGATATTGAGGGCAACAAGGTTCAGTTTCGAGCAAGGCATATCGTTGTATTTCGTGTCCGTGCAGAACATCTTCGACAGCGACCGGAAGAAAGACCACTGGTCTGCGGAAGAAGTCACCTATGCAAAATATTGGGAAATCAGATTATAAATTCACTATTCAACAGCGAATAAATCTTATTATCACAACAATTACCTTCATTACTTTCATAGTATAAATTCTGAATGTTACTCGCCATTAGTAGCAATTTATCTAATCACCATCACCACTTATAAAAGCACCACATATCACCAACATCACTACCATAATTGTAAATACCTCCTTTGATTTATAGCCGCCTTTCTCCGTATCCGTGGACAGACATCCCAGGCACGCGTTGGAGTTGGCAACTTCGTTCTCCCCTACCACCTGCCCCAGGCCATTCGCAGCGACCCCACACCCGTCCAGCAGGCAGCACATCCGGGCGATCCCGGGCCGGAGGCCCTCTACGAAATTTCCCAGGATCTTGTTGATGAAGGCGTCCTTAGCCAGGCACTGCACCAGGTTCTCCCCGCCCTTCTTGCACTTGGCCACCACCTCCCCGCTGATTTTCCTCTCAATCAGGCTGTCCGTGCGCAGCGAGTCGAGGCTCGTGCTCCCCGTTTGGCCGCACTGGGCCAAAACCGACGAGCTGGCGGTAGGGGCCGACCCCTTGACGCCGCGGTCCGGCGGCGAAACCCCCTCGGCGTTCAGGGAGGACGACAGAGAGCACAATATCAACTGCGTTTTGACTTTGGAGTACTGCTGCAGCAATTTGAAGAAGAGGAACCCGGGTTCCAAGGGCTCAGGTGGGGCTTCGTTACTGAGAGATGAAAAGGATGATCCACAGAGAGCTAACAAGAGGAAGGCGAAGATGGAACCGAAACGAAGACAGGAAAGCAAAGAAGACATCCACGTCAAGATGCCCGCCATCTTGGCCTCTTGTATGTTTATGCAGAAACCTTTGACGCCTCTTTGACCTCCCCACTGTCACAGCGTCAGCATCTGCATCATCGATTTTTCTCACACGTATAGACGGAGAGCTCTTCAATCACACCACACAAGCATCCTTCTCCTTTTACATTTAGCGACGACTGTTGCATGTTGCCAAAATTATTCTACGGCTAATGCATGTAGAAATAATAGACATAATGCACGCAAACACATGGCCACAAAAATTGGACGAGTCAAATTTACGCCCCGAGCAATTTGCAAAATTTCATATTAATATATATTAATATTAAACTTTATTAATGTGGTTAGAATTAGGCCTAAAATTGCGCTTTTAAAATAGCAGACAAGAATTCTGGAGGTAGGCGACACGTACCCGTACAGACGAAGGACACGAAGGAGATAGTTCTCGCTAATATAATTAAACTGCGAGGTGTTAACCATCTCCCCTCCGCATTCCAGCCCAAGAGGAGTTAAAATTGGTTCTGTCTCATTTTCGCCCCGGAAATGTCAGATATTTTGAATTGCCCCCGGCGGTGGCATTTAGGAATTAGTTTCTTTCTCTTCCTTCCTGTAAGAGCGTGTATTCAGTCAAAACGGACAAAAATGCAAAAGCAAACAAGAAAACACGTGAAAAGTTCATCGAGGTTACATGAAGATACTCCCAATTTGGGGGACCCCTAAAATATCGCCCACAATGAAACTTTGTGCTGGATCTTTAAGTTTTTTGAGCTCTACCCTCAATGAACTTTTTCAAAACTTAAAGCAGGGCACTCTGCGTCCTTGCACTATGAGTGTACTGTCTTGTCCACATAATGCAAAAAATTGCTCCGAAAAAAAATGAAAATGCCACCATGTGATTTCTAGCGAAAGATTTTTTAGAAATTATTCTCTGTGTCGTGACGGCAGTCTTTAAGATGCTGCGGCACTGAGAAGTGTGAAATATGCAACGAGCTACATAGTATGCTCATGAATAACTTATTTCATGCTGACGGCCCGGCCCAAATCTGACTGATTTCAAAGTCCACGATGCCACGATGCGTGTGATTTGATATAGCAACTAGCTCGCCGATCCATGCATTGCGTGTCCCCTGTTTTCTCTTTAGTGTACACATTTTTTCTTTAACAGTGGTGTTAATTTTTTTCTAATTCGTCAGTTTGTGTCCCATCACTACGATAAATGTAATGTAATATTTATTTCTTGAACTTGTTTTTCAGGGTTATAGTGATTTATTTTTTTTTAAAGATCATCAATTACTATCCAGGGGGATGCTGCCGCGCGATGCAACAGCGACGTAAACAAGATGGCGGAGAATGTGAAAGTCGCTGTACGAGTTCGGCCATTCATATCCTTTGAAAGGCAGTGTTTGTTTTTTTCAACCCATATTTTTGTGCAAAGAAGCATTGTGTGGTCTGGTCTGCACAAAAGTATGGGAATTTTTTACATTACAGCTTTTTTGCTAGCTGTTGTCAGCTTTAATTTTAAGTGGCCACTCACACCCCTGTTGCATGTTGTGAAGAGTAGTCAATCGATCTTGCCTTCCGTCTTCGTGTTTCCAGGGTTTCCCATTTGACTTCTGAAATCATATCTATGACACTGTTGCAGTGTTGGTTCTTGTGTAGTTATTTTGAACGAATCTAGCAGCGCGTCTTTGCACTTTTTCCAAGCAATCTATATTTACTTTGATGAAGATCCCAAATTGAGCTGATCCCAAATTGAGCTGGCGTATTCTAATTTGGGTCTAACCAGAGTTTTGTAGGCTACATCTTTTACTCGGGGCTTGCAGTTCCAAACGTTTCTTTTAATCAGACCCAGCATTTTGTTGAAATTATTGACCGTGTGAGTCAACCCAACTCCCAAATATGTATGGTGGTCAACCTCTTGGAGAGTACTGATTCCTCTTGTGACTTATAGACATAATGGAACACTTGGACGTATTGAATTTCATTTGCCATACAGACTTCCAAGCACATGGGGAATTGTTGTCTTCCTGAAGAGCATGGCAACCCTTTTGTGCTTTTATTTGCCGATACAGAACTACATCATCAGCAAACAGCAATATACCGGTACATTAGATGTGACTTTATCTGGTAAATCATCGCTGTAAGCAGGGGACAGCACTGGCCTGAGGACAGTTCACCATCGATGATAACAGTAGGACTCGGGAGGTTACTAACTTTAAGAACTTTGGCTAGTCATGCATGCTATGTAGGACTACAGCTATGCTATGTAGGCCTGGCACTGAAAGCCTACACTGGATGAGAACATTACAGGCAGGGTAGACGGTATAGTAGGCCTAAGGTACTAGTTTATGCTCTGAGGGTAAAAATGTAGCCAAGACATTAGCCATGATAGCCAGGTATCCAAGCAATCGCCAGTGAGTTCACCTGTGCCGTGGTGGCAACGGCCTAGGCATTGGATGACACTCTTTTACCATGTGCCGATTTAATAGATGGCTTAAATTATATATATCTCTTCTTCTCTTCTTCCAAGAGATGCACCAGCTTCATATATTTGAAGACCGAGGCACGTTAAAATGAGAAGCAGTTACAGTTTTAGAGGTGGTAGGAAAACCCCAGAGGAATATTCTGGGTAAAACCCACGGAATCCAGTAGGGACTGAAACCTGATCTTACACGTGGACTTAGCCGGGAATCGAACCCGGACCAGAGGTGGAAGGCAAGGAAAGAACCACTAACATTACGCCAACCCCTTTCCCCTGCCTCCTTAATGTAATCTGTTTTGAATGAAATTTTCAAATAAAATCATTCAGAAAGCTGCATAGAAGTTTTTAATTTTATTAAAAGCTGCCAGAAACACTGTTTCACTTCTTTTTTGTGTGGTAATCAGAAAAAGACCACAAATAGAATTTAAATTGCCAGAACTTAAGGTCAGATTTTGTCCAAGTTTTGGTTAACCTGTTTTTTTTCCACTGGCAAAATGAAGACTTAGTACCAGACATTTATGACAAAGTTGACTGATGCAGTACTTCTATTTTCTATACAATTTTCTTATTTCACGTTCGCAGTCATTAAGTTAACCCTTTCGCTCCAGGAGACGGCGAGAGCCGCGGCTTTGTGTGAGGATTAGTGCATACCACACATACAGTCTATTCACCATGCAGCTGCTGGTTCAATGGGGTCAGCTGCTGGACAAAGCCCTCCATTCAGGGCACACCACAGCCCAGCAGTCACGGTCAAAAGAATCCCGGCGCGAAGGGGTTAAGAGATTCGCAAATTTTTGGACTAGTTTACAAGTGTGCTGTATGTTGCGGAGTTGCGCTGTAGTAATTCCAATTGCTAGCCTTAACTTATTCACACAATGAGCGGGAGATTAAGGTGAAGGCCAGTTGCATCATTAAGATGTACGGCAAGACCACCGAGATCGTTGACCCGGCCAACAAGCAGAGCGAGCCCAAAAAGTTCACCTTTGACCAGTCCTACTGGTCACATGACGGCTACAAGGAAGGTCCAGATGGCTACTTGGAAGCGGTTGGCAGCAAGAGTCCCTACGTCGATCAGGTTTGTACAGCTGTCTAGAAGCGCTTGTTTTTGGGATGTCCGTTGCTCTGACTCGAACCAGTCAGCCAGACTGGCGAGTTTGGTGATGGTTAAGTGGTAAGATGTCTGCTGCAGTAAACAGGAGGTCATGGGTTCGAGTCCCATTTACATCTCATAAAAATGTTTGTTTTTGTCACTGTTTTTCACGAAGGGATCTTGTCAGATCTAATGGAAAGGAATAGCTTAATTTTCTTCACGCTAAATTTGTCATTTATTTGCTGACTCTTTTTTTCGTACACGAAACAGCGGAAAGTCTTCAAGGACCTTGGTATGTCTGTGTTGGAGAATGCGTGGAAAGGCTACAACTGTTGCATGTTTGCCTACGGCCAGACAGGGAGTGGCAAATCATACTCTGTGGTTGGATATGGAGCGAACAAGGGTGAGAAAAAAAGTCACTGTGCACAAATGACTCAGTCGGAAGCAATTTCAAAATTTGGTTGGGCCACACTTTACTGCAAAGTGACAATTTTCAGCTTTAAGCTCATCCTGAAATGACAGGTTGCATACGTGAGCATTCCTTCTCTAATCCAACCTAGAGGTTATCCAGAAGCATTTCATGAGGGGTTGGGGGGCAGCGGTGCCCCTCTCTTGCCCTCTCCCCTCTCTTGCCTCCCCCTTGAAGTTGGACCACCCTCCCAAGGTTCTTAGACTGTTCATCTGTTCTGCTCACTGTAGGCATCGTACCTGAAACGTGCGAGAAGCTCTTCAATGGCATCGACGAGAACTTGAAGACAGCTGACAAGTCTAGGGAACAGGAGTACCAGGTCCGTTCTCCGATAAAAATATCAGACAGCTATTATGTTCCCCGTTTTTAGGACAAAGGAACTTGAAATCTACGGCACAATGAATGAAGAACTCTGAAATATCAAATTAATGTCTGTTGGACCCCAGACATCTAATTCTGTTGGTTGAAATGCGTCCTCTTTCCAGGTGTTTGTGAGCATGCTTGAAATCTACAATGAGCAGGTCCGCGACCTCTTGAACCCCAGCAGTTTCAAGGTCAAGGGAGGGTTAAAGGTCAGGGAGCACCCACAAAGAGGGTTCTATGGTAAGCGCTGAAAACCACAACGCGGCCCTCTGTGTGAATTTGTCCTTGAATGATAATTAGCGGATGCCGAATTTGTTGAAAAGGAATTAATGCAAAACATAATGATGCGATTTTGCCTCTTAACTTGAAATAAAGAGCAGAAAAGAATGGTGTTTTTGAAATAAGATCTTCAAATCACAAGTTACTTTCCCTGAACAATTGTATCTGCCTTCTGTTTCACTTTTTCAAAGCTTAACGTCTAATCCCACTGGGTTTCTTAAAAATTATCTTTTGGAGTTTTCCTTCTAAGTTAACTGGCATTTCATCATCGTCATCCCTTGATGGACTGTGAGAATGGATTCATTTATTATCACAAAGGAAGGGGAAAAAAATGAGGAAATAGCAATGGATTGAAAACTTGAATTTTAAGGCTAATTTGAAGGTTGGGGTGTGTATTTTGTGTGCCGATAGTGGAATCTCAAAGCATCTTCCCAGTCAAGAGTTACGACGACATCAACGAGAGAATAAATGAAGGGACGCGGAACAGAACCATCGCATCCACCAACATGAACGCAACCAGCAGGTAAGCTTGTCCACACAGCCATGGAATAAACATCAGCAAAATGCAAGAAGTGCTGCTCATTTGTAGTGGATACATCAACTGCAGAATTACTTGAATCAACGAATCAGTGAACTTCTCCACACAGCTGTGGAATTCAGTGGCAGAATGTAAGAAATGCTCAAATGTAATGGATACATCAACCATGATATAAGTTGAATCAACTAAAAAAATGGGCTTGACAGCATGGCTGCAGAATCCACTGGCAGCATGCAGAAATGATGCTAATGTGTAGCGGATACATCAACTACAGGATTAGTTGAATCAACAAATCAGTGAGCTTGTCCACGTAGTTGGTAGTCCACCAGCAGCATGCAGAAACACTGCTCATTTGTAGTGGTAGGTTAACTATAGGATTAGTTGAATCAACTACGTAGGTACTCATGATATGGAATCTGTCCACATTGTAACAAACGTTGCCCGTTGGTTTTAAATGTATCAACCATGTGCCTGTACAAACAGAACTAGGAACAAGATCACTGCGTCTGCCAGCCTGGTCACAAGATATCTGACAGAGTATGTCATTTGGATGAAAAGTCCTATTTTCCTACCTTGTGGCATGTGAAACATTGAGACTTTCACCTTCTCCAACATATCCCAACCCTAAAAATGAAGTGACAGTTCCCTGGGATGCAGACTTTGGCACCGTGCTCCCTCTCCAGGAAAGGATGTTGTCTTGAAGATCGTTTTGTGTCTTCAGATCATCTTTCCAAGGAAAACTTGGGTGTGACTTTGATAATTTTCATTGCGTTTTTCTTTTTTGGGGTTGGCAGTCGGGCACACACCATCGTCTCCATCAAATTTGTACAGAAGGGTAAAAACGACGCTGGGCAGAACATGACCAAGACGTCCATCATCAACCTGGTCGACTTGGCAGGAAGGTAAATCCAGCTCAAACAACAAAATCTACGTGGTACTAGAGAAAATGTTTCAATTTGGTTAAAGCACTGCAACAAGACTAGTCTAATCTCACGTACGACGTTTCTTGAAAATTAGAGCCCATGCTATTTTGGGTGTAAAGTAGTCCTCAATTTCGGGCAATTGCTGTTCATTCCTTCACCTGCAAATGACCTTTTATCCTCTTACCCTTATCTTTCTTCTTTATCAAAGACCAAATAACAAGATTGGAGTGAGTTGAAATTCAAGAGATGAAAAAGTTGATTGTAGCCAAAATAGAGAAGTGTCTTCTGTCACTCATAATGATTTGAATACTTTTGAAACTAAAATTCCCAATTCTGCCGCTCAATTTGAAACATTGAAAAGAGGTTATTTATTCAAATTGGAAGATGAAAGACGACTTGTTGTTGGAATAGTTAGGCCCATGTCCGAATGATGCCGCACTTTGGTCATATTATGCACTTTCTTATGGGAGCAAGGTTGAAGCAGTGGATTCAGAGCTCCACAGAGCAGTGTGCAAAAGCATTATGTCATCAACACTTGGGCTTATTCTGTTGTTAATTATTTTGGTCCTCCTCACTGCCGTCTTCAGCGAACGAGTAGACAGCACAGGAGCCACTGGCGATCGATTGAAGGAAGGAGCGGCCATTAACTTATCACTGTCATCACTGGGTAACGTCATCAAGGCACTGGCCGATCAGGGGAGTGGAAAGAAGTCAACCCGAGGTAAAAATTCCTGCAACTTCTCAACTATTATGTGGAATAGTTTTGCAGAGGTATTTTTTTCTTCAAGGATAGTCAAACTTCCCTCAAAAAGTCAATAGTTTGGTCTATACTTCCAGGTATTTTGCCTCTGTTGAATAATCTTCTGTGACTTTGTCACATTTAGCTTCAAAGAGTCCCACTAATGGCTACTCAGCTCCTCAAAAAAAATAAAAGCACCGGATTTCCCAACAAAGCTTTGGGCAAAAACTGCCTGGAGTGATATCATGGTTCATTCTGTAAATTCTGGAGATTCTTAGAATATTGAGTCAGACTTGAAAAAAAATATTTTGCATTCTTTTTTGGCCGTGCAGTTCCTTACCGCGACTCCAAACTCACGATGTTGCTGAAAAATGCCCTTGGCGGCAACAGTAAAACTATCATGGTAAGTAACACCCCTTTTGACTGATCGGTTGAGCCCTCATGGTTTAGTTGAATGTTGGAGGGTTTGGGAGCTTTCCAGCCCAAAACACCCAGGAAATACAATCTCTTTTTTGTCCTTTCTATTTGCATAGATTGCGGCCTTGAGTCCAGCTGACATCAATTACGATGAGACTTTGTCAACCCTCAGATATGGTAAGACAATCGCAAATTTGTTTAAACCAGACCCTTACCCTGGGAAGCAATTCCAGTATTTGTCACAGAAAAAAACTACAACATCTGATTGGTTCTTGTGAAATCTGACCAAACTGGTTGGTGTCACATCTCAGTTTCATTGATAGATTAAGAAAAGGGTGCAGAGTTTCATCACAGTGTTGTTGGTTTTTTTAGCTGACCGAGCCAAGTCGATCAAGACCAAGGCTGTGGTGAACGAGAGCCCAACTGAGAAACTGATCCGTGAGCTGAAGGAAGAGAACGCTCGCCTCTTGTTGGAACTACAGGGGAAGGGAGGAGGGGGCCAGGCTGTGATGCAAGGAGTACCTGAAGAAGGTAGCTGACCAGAAGCCAAGCCTCAACCCTACCCAGCCCAACCTACCCCATAAAATCCAGCCTTGGCCAACCTCATCCCACCTAACCTAGCCCTGCCCAGCCCAGTTTTGCCCAACCCACCTCTACCCAACCTTTAGCCCAACCCAACCCAGTTCAACCCGTCCCTGCCCAACCCGGACCAACTCAACCAAGGTCCATCCAACCCAGCCCAGCCGTACTAGACCTAATTCATTTTCAGACAAATTCATTTCAACCTTTCTCAACCCACTTCACTCCAGCTCTAGCACATTTTCCAAGAATCGCGTTCCACAGCTCCTCGTTATACTTAAAATCCTTTTTTTCCAACCTTTAAATCGCCAAACAGAGGTGGAAGAACTCAAGAGGGAATTGGAGTTGCAGATGCAGAGGAACCAGAGCGAGATGGACTCCATGAGGCAGTCCTGGGAGCAGAGACTCAAGGAAGTCCAATCAGCACAAGAGGTATAGATGTACATACGATATGTGTTTGGTCAGATACAAAGTGGTGGCAGAAGTGAGATCGGAAACTACACTGTTTCACACCTATGGCAAATGTCACAATGCTTCAGAAGTACCTGAATAACACATGGCATGTGGAATATTTGTTGTTGTATCCAGGCCGCAAATCAAATTGGCATGTTAGTGATTTGATGATTACGGTATCAGAAGTGGGATGAGCAGTGGTTTGTAGCTTGGATTGTGATATACTGCCATCTTTGTGGTTTTCCCCAGGAAAAACTGGCTAAAGAAATTCGAAAGAGGGACGAGATGAAAGTTACACCCCATTTCTGGAACTTAAACGAAGACCCAGCTCTGACGGGAATGGTTGTACATTTCACCTACCCAGGTAGGTACCCATCATTTCTTGAAACCAAAACAAAAATAAATTCCATTTTGAAAAAGTTTAATTAAGTTGCATAAAAGTGTCATAAAATTCCTACATGCCTCATAGTGGAACTTTCATGTTACTACGAGACGCTCAGGCTTTGATTTACATCTTGTGATTTGCACCAAAACATTCTTGGCATTTCACAGAAGAAGGTAGCAAAACGTTCACTTTTATTGGAAGGGCTTAATTTGTTTTTCAGGATCGACGCGAGTGGGGAATCAGAAAGCAGAAACCACGCCAGAAATAATGCTGTCAGGACTCAGGTAAGACTCAGGTAAAGGGCTAGTGGATCAATAGTACATCCTTTGGGGGTTCTGCTAGAGGATGAGAGAAGTTCTTTTAAGCTCCACAATTGTCTCTTCAGTATACAGAAGGACCATGCTACAGTCACCAACAAGAAGGGGGTGTGTGTCCTACAGCCCTCCCCTGGAGCCAAGGTGCTGCTGAATGGTAAAGACCTCATAGACAAGGCAGAGCTCCACCACAATGACAGGTAAGCACAAGTTAGAGTCTTGCTGACCTAACCTGCCCCAGCCAGACCTGGCCTATCTTTACGCATTCTGACCTGACCTGACTCGAGCTGACCTGGACCGATATGAGCTGGCTTGACTGGATTCTACTTGTTACATGAGGACCTAATTTTTACACAACCCAGTCTGATTTTGACGTGACTAGATTTTATCTGACACAAATTTATCTGTCTTGGCTTGACCTGACCTTATTGTACCCAAAGTAGACTTGATTCTAACTGGCCCAATCAGATTTTCATGGGATTGGATCGGATTTGACCCAAGATGACTCGACCCAAATTGATAAAACCTTTTGAGTTCTGTTACTAAGAAAATTGGGATGAAAATTAAAAACTTCAAACATCAAAGTTGAAATCTGAGCCACACCTTTGCCTGAGCAGGCTTTAAACCCACTGTAGACAGATAAAAGGTAAAAAAAGTTCCACTGCACTACTTTTAACCATTTTGTGGAATGACTTCTTCTTTTTAAACAAATTCTTTGTAGAGTCATGTTCGGTTCCAGTCATCTCTACGTCTTTCACCACCCGCAAGATCTCGCCAAAAACCAGAAGGCCGGAAAGAAGGAGGAGAAAGTGACATACGACACGGCGCAGGAAGAGATTGCCGCCAACTCGGGATTCGACATGAAAAAGGGGCCGGATAAATCCAAAGGTCTGTGGCCCCCAAAAAACCTGCCATTTTGTCTTTGCAACTCGTCTTCTGACGACAGTTTTATCTGTTGGTTGTGGCAAAAACAGGCATGCTTGACCCGGTCCATCTTCATAAAAACCTCTACAAGCTTCTGTTGCCCCTCAAGACTAACACCATTTGAAATGTTAAGTGATCTGTTTCTCTCAGAACCCATGCATACTGAAAATTAAAACGAGATTGGAAAATAGACGGGAAAAACTTCCTTGTACTTTACACATGGTGTGTAATCAGATGTAGGTTGCAATTAAACTTCACTTCTGTTGGCGTTGCCGCCAAGTAAAGTTTCCGATCTCATCCCTATATTTTTTGGGGGGGATGGGTTGATTCCAGATGATCTCTTGCTGCAAGAGGACCTGGTTCAGCTGATGCCCATGGTGATCGAAGCCAACGCCATGAGCGAGGAGCTAAAGAAGGGCGTGCGATTCGAGATCGTCCTGATCTCGCCACAGGCCAGGGGCCAGAAACACAGCCGGACAGAGGTAGGGAATTGGCTATCTGCAAAACTAAAAGTTGGCTCGCACAAACCTACTTTGTAGATATGACCTCTGTAGAGTAGTTGGCTGGTTCAGGACTTAATGTCTGGTACCCAGGTTTCTCAGATGACCACCACCCATGCAAACTGGATGCCGTCCACATGGTGCATCCGCAGAATGACGTCTCGTTTTTGGGTTTTTTTTTGGTTCAGTTGGCAGTTCTGATGCGCTGCAACGATAACGACAATGAGTTCCTGTGGGACAAGAACAAATTCCTAAACCGCAAGTACCTCATGCAGGAGATGTACCAGAACTTTGTAGACGGGGAACCAGACTGGGACAGGGAAAAGGTATGGACAGTTGAAAGCAAATTGTCGACAGGTGCCCTGTAGGCCTTTGAAGCTTCCCGTTTCCATGCCATAGAGGCACTAGAGATTTTTCAACCGATGAGGGAGTGCTTCTGCTCAAGACGGATACCTCCAAAGATTAGGCTAACTAGGGTCAAAGACATTCGTGTTATTGATCATTACATCCATTTGCCCCCTCCCCAATAGGATAACGACCCCTTCTGGGAGCCCCCGGACTCTGAAGTCATGATTGGCTGCACCCACGTCTACCTCCAGAGTCTCGGGTACCTCATTGAGGTGGAGGAACTTTTGGGCATCACTGATTTCCGCGGCAATGAGCAGGGGCTCCTCAAGGTGGAGATCTACCCGTGCAACGCAGACGGGTCCAATCTGGCCGAGGACGATTTCGTAGACGAGCCCGAGGAACTGGTAAGCTTCGCTATTATATTTCGGTCTTCAAGGTCCAGTCTGGTGTCGCAATAACAGTGGAAAATTGCTTTCTTCTGCTCGGTTTGTAGAGGTTGTGTGGCCTAGTGGCTAGGTTATGTGACCCGTGATCAGAGGGTCAGAGGAATTCGAGTCCAGCCGCCGGCCGCAAGTAGTGTCCTTGGGCAAGACACTTGATCCAAATTGCCTTGCTCCACCAAGGAGAAGGAATGGGTACTGGCATGAGCTGGGGAACAACCTGCGATGGCCTGGCATCAAATTGCTTTTACACCGCCATGTTTCAGAAAATTTCACAATTAATACCCTCAATTTCAAGTCATCTGTCAGTGCAGTGTGCAAAGATGGAACCAAACAGTCAAATTGAACAGTGAATATTGAATCAGTTTTTGTAAAGGTGTGTTTTATGTGTTTAAAAAATATAAAGACAACAGGCACAGTTGGAGAAGGAAGCTTTTGAATGTAGAGAAATTTCTCGGATTCTTAGGAACAAAATTCCCAGAGAGTGTTGTCAGTGTGATGGTAACGATTGTAGCTGCAGTTTATGACCGCACTCAAGTGACTGCAAAAGTGGGAAATGCATGCAAAGCTGGGAAACGACAGTTTGCCTGAAATTTGTTTGGATGCTCTGTCGGTTTCGCTTGCAGCTGGGACGACAGGTGGCCTTCAAGATTGTCCTTACCCACGCCAGAGGTCTTCCCTCGCGATTCCAGAAGGTGTGTACGTTTCATTCATTCCGTCAGGGATGGGATATTTCAGGAGTTCAGTAGATTTCAGGCTTTGAGGCTCTGTTTGCCCTCGGCACAAAAAGAAAAACAAGTGCAAAATTCACGTAATAAAGTTGGCTTGGATGTTATCAGCAGAGCACTGTTGACTGATTCTGCCGTGGTGAAAACTTTTACGCAAGGCCCTGTAACTTTTAAGCTTTGTGTGTTTCATTTCAAGCCAGTCAGGCGCCAGGTCGAAGCAGTTTTGTTTTGTCTTTACATCAGTAGTAGGATCAGATTCATTCGTAGTAATTGAATAGTTTTTACCGAAATCTTCCACTTCAACCCTTTATTGTTTTAATTCGACCTTTCTGTCGCCAGAGCCGATGTAAATATCGTTTCTACCTTGATAAGAATCCAGCCCAAACGTCGGAGATCGCTGGCACCTGCAACCCAGACTACAATTACAACAAAATCGTTTCCGTCAATGCTGTCACAAAACAAGTAAGAACAAAAGATTTTGTTTCATGTCCTCAGACAACCACATCAGGTGTTTTGGGTTCTTTCCTTATGTCCTCATACCTATAGATTGGAAGCCATATTTACCCTATGTAACAATATTAGGTAATGTTCAATGTCCTCAGATCTAGGAACAGATGCATAGAGTGATAAGATTAATGGGTTGGAAAATGTCCTCAGTATGTGTGCCCAGAAATTATTTGGTTATGGTGCAGGTCCTCAGATTGTGCAAATTACTATAGCAGGTATATGTGGTTGTACGTGTGTATGGTATAGCAGGTGTATATGGTTATACGTGTATATGGTATAGCAGGTGTATATGGTCGTATGTTTATATGGTTATATGTGAATAAATGGAACATTGAAAGGAAAAAAATCAAATTAAGGGAACAAATTTTTCCTGTTTTTTTTTAAATTTTTTCAGCTGCTTGAGTATTTCAACGAAGGCATGCTGACAGTCGAGGTTTGGGGTCGTCAGTCGGACACCAGCAAAAAGGGGCGGGTCGCACGGGGCCGACCCAAAACGGCCAGCACCAACGGGACTGTGGTGAGGAGAGACCGTATGTTGCCATCTTGTGCTGTGCGTGGAGGGGATTGTGCCAACTTCAGATTGGAAGCCATTTTGGTTCCAAATTCCACATACTTGTGAATGCAGGGAACAGTCAGTCCAGCTGTGATCTGTAGTTTGCCATGTCATGATAGCCTGTCATTTTGGAAACCGAATGGCGTCGTGCACCATGCCTGACACACCCTCATGTCATTATTCCATCTGTATACAGCTCTGATTTCAATGAATGTGAACAGGAGAATGTGAACTTTTTCTTATCAAGAAAGCAGATTAATGACGGAAGAAAAAAAATATCACTGTCAGGAATTTCTACTGCTCAAAAAAACCAAACTTGTGACACCAGAAAGTAAAATCCCCAAAAGACACACATAAAAAAAAATCGACCATGTTGCTGAACATTTCTTGCCTCAAAAATACGAGAAATTTATGTCGCTGTTGTGAGAGTTTCAATGCGATCTGAGCAGATGTATTACCACGAAACTCAAGCTCCACTTCACCCTCAAAATATTCTGCCATTTCGACATTACAACTTTAATTCTTAATAAACAGGATTTGAAGTTTCGTTGTTGGTCGTCATGTGCATGTTAAATGAATAGCTTCTCAAAACACTTCTGGATTTTTACAGGAAGCTGAGGAGCGAAACCGGATGGCTGTGGAGCTGAATACAGAGAAGAAGAGGGTTGCCAGACTGGAGGCCAAACTGGTGAGCAAACCCTGAAGGGGTCAGGGGTGGGAGGAGAGGGGAACTGCCGTACATTTTCTGTCATATTATAACTGCAATTCTTGCCGTTGCCTAGAGCTCCGGGGAGTTTTTTGCCGGTGTCTTCCAGTCATTTTGTGACCCCTCGTAGAGAAACTGAAGATTGTTTCCTCCACTCCCATTGGCTTAATTAGCTCGAATATCTGGTAAGCGAGGCCCAAAGAGTGACGAGCACACAAAATGTGCTCAGCTCAGAGAAAATCTGTTCAGCAAACTTGGGTTACCAGCCAAAAATGTCACATAAGTTGCACCACTTGTTCCTGGTTCTCGGCTCATTTTTGCTGAGCACATAAATCTGTTGTGGACTGTGCGCTGCTTTGGCAGGTCCTTGAAGCTGGGCCGAGTTGCCACCAGCGTCGTGCTCCCCATCAGTCAAACTCTTCGCACACGGTGTGAATTACAAAGGCAAACAGGTTCTTAGTTTGGTTCCGCCATTGTGTCATACTTTCAGCACAAGCTGAGAGACCTGGTCATCGAGGCGCAATCAAAAGGGGAGGAAGTCATTGCCATCAGGGACTTACAAGCGGCAGTCATGGGGGGGTCGTCAGCCAGCTTCAAAGCTGCCGCCCGCGTGGTCGCCATCTCCGAGAAGTCAAAGGTCGATGGGCAGGTGACAAGTACGACGTGCAATGTGCAATGAATGCAGGAAGTCCCGTCTTCCGTCAGAAAGACTCCGCTTCTGTGGCCCGACCACCGTTGTAGTGCAAGAACATTCCTGTTTTGTGTAGTGGAAGCTTAGAAATCAAGGTACAGATAATTTCTCCAGCCGTAGTTTGGCCTTTTTGTATCATTGTCCGGCTTTTTATATTGACATCTTTACGATTTCAGTGATCGTTTGAACCACTGCAAAATTTGCACTCATGGAAATACCCAAATTGGCCCAGAATAACTTGTGTGGTGTGAATATAAAAATAACATNAAAAAAAAAAAAACGGTTGATCGATTTTGAAGTATGATTGTTTGACCTCCAAAAACTTGTGTACCTACTACCATACTGGTTAGTTATTTTTTTGGTCCACTGAGGGGAAAGTCGGACCCCTGGTGTGACAAACATGGATCTGTATTTTTTTGTAGCAGTATTTTTAGAAATTCCTTTTTTAATGTTATCCCCAAGCGAAAGAATTTGTAGGGGTTCCAGGATTGGTCAGGGTTGGTGATACATGCTGCCTGTAAGCCTCAAAGGTTTGAAATCATCCAAATTTACAGGTATCGTGGGGGGGAGGGTATAAGTAATACACAACAAGACTGAACCCCTTCGCTACGGAGGACTGCTACTACCACACCGTTGTGTGAGGATTAGTGCATACCACGCATACAGTCTATTCACCATGCAGCTGCTGGTTCAGTGGGGCCTGCTGCTGGACAGAGCTTTACATTCTGGGCATACCGCAGCCCAGCAGTCACGGTCAAAATAATCCCGCCTTGAAGGGGGTAATACTCATAAAAATAATAGTGTGCAACACTCTCATTGATGTCCGAAATTCTCTGTGTCGAAAGTGGCCGTTTCACGAAACTTGCGACAAAATCACAGGACGGGCTTGAAATTTAGTACAGCAATGTGTGAGTGCGATTACAGGGTACCAACTGAACTCCAACTTGCCATGTGGCCATTGCAGATCACGTGTCAGTACTCATTGACGTCCAGCGATGCTCATGCAGAAACAGACCTCTTTGATAACACACTTTGATAAGTACTTGGTGAGATATTTTAGTTGTTTACCAAAGACAGGCTGCTGGCCCTTCATGAAACTCCAATATTTGTAGAAATTTGGTTTGTTTTTGTGCAAGCATCATTTTTTGGAGCGTATTTGTATATTGGAAAAATGCAAAGATATGAAGTTATATATTTTGTGGAATGATAAGTTATTTTAATCCATCTAGAATATAAAAAATACATTTTATGTATTCACTGCTGATGAATGTTGGAGGAAATTTTCAGCAATACCTTACGCAGCATTATTAACTTTGATTTTTTCTTATTTCGCAAGAGTAGAATTTTAAACAAACTAACATTTTTACGCAACAATTTACCGCGGTCTGTAAAAATAAAATTTGTCAATTAGGCCCATCATCAGGGAACTACAAACACAATATTTTGTAATTTCTTGTAATTATCCGTCCATCTCTTCTCTCACATTCTGTAAAATTTGAGCACGACATTATACCATTTTGTGAAGTTTTTTGGTAAATTCACCTTTGCAGCTTTTGTGTTCCATACTCAATTGCCCTGAAAACTCTGTCAACTTGACTCAATTACACTGGCCTTCAAGAAGAAAATTTACCTTGTATATTTAAATTTTTTACCACCCAATAACTAAGTGAATTCTTTGATATGTACATGTGTTTGCTTTCACTTCTTAAAACCGCTTGCAGATTTTTATATAACCTTGGTGAAAAGTACTGCTCTGTTTTTGCATGTTCATTTCTTTGCTCATGGTTTGACTTTTACAAATGTAGAGTAGCGAAGAAGTGTGTGGTGGTCCCAGTCCACACAAAAACAGTAGCGGAGTACCCGTGATACCTCTCTCTCGGGTAGTAGTTTGCAGAGAAGAGTTGTCAGGTAAAATGTCATGTGGTGAATCAATTATGGTCGTTCGTTGCTTCGAATGAAGTACGGTTCCTTGCGGGAGTAAGCTTTGCTTTTCCCCTGCTGCCCCATTTTGCAAGCTGGCTTTTTGTAAAGTAAAGAACCGCACACCAAGCAATGGTGGTCACTAATTCAAGGCATGCATGATATGTTTGTTACTTTTGACGTTCTCACACAGTGAGGTGGTACAACATCTGTCTTTAATTTTTTTTTACAAATTCTACACATTTTTCATATTGAAAAATATCTTTTATTTCCAGTCACTTCGTAGTGAGATGAAAAACGCTCATTTTTTAAGAGATGCAACACAGACTTGACTGTTTATACCTTGTGTTGCTCCTAAGTTCAAAGATCTTAGGAAAATGTTCAACTTTTGATCATGACAGTTGAAAAGTAAGCTTTGTCAAAACATTTTTTGCAGCCTTCAATTGTTTGTGGATGTCCAGGTTGTGTTAATTACAACTCTTGGTACATGCGTATAGCATAATTTGAAATTTAAACAAAAAACACTTGATGGCTGGTTATGTAATCATACAAACTTTCTCTAAAATTATTGTTATAGGTGAGGTTTTGTTTATAGAAGTGCTATAAATGATGATTAAAATAACACATTGGCACGATCGGCTGGCTTTGCTCTTATTTGAATAAAAGGCTTTTGTCAACCTTAAAATGGTGCGCTAGTTTGTTTAAAAACTTCTGGTGGTAACAGTTTTTGTCCTCATTAAAAAACAAGATGGGTGGTTTGTTGCGCTCCTAGCGCTGTGACGGGTGTGGTTGAGTCGACATATTTGTTTTCATCAGATGGCTGCCATGCAAGTACTTATTTTAAGTGGCAAAAATGCGACTTCGAAGGTTTTAAATCGAAGGAGCTCTTTTTCAAATGTTTGAACTTTCATAAGCACTTTTGTGAGTAAAGCTGATTACCAAGTCCATTTTCCGGCATCGTCTGGTATAACAAAACAGAGAGCCATACATTTGGAAGAGCGCCCTCTGTTGATAGGGTCAACTGGCGCGTTTTTTCGTTCTGCTACTGGAGTGGCCCACAGTGCTGTTAGGTCTACACCGTTCGTTGTATTTGGAGACATTTTAGCTTGCTTTCCAAACATTCTAGTTCACCTTGGCATGCTTGACGAATCATGGAGCCTTGTGATTGGCATTGTACAAGAGAAGCTGTCAGAAAACTGGAGAAATCGCTGGGATGTGGAGTTTGGTAAGCACGACGGAATAGGCCAACATGGCGAATTTGGCCTAGGCTACGTGTAGGCCTGTAATTCTATTTATGTAAAGGAAGATGTCCTCTTTGACTCCAGGATTTGATTTAGAAAAGACTAGAAAAAGACTAAAGTCATTTGTTTTTGAGGCATTACCCTACTAACATGACTAACGCCTTTGTTTAATAACATTAACGATGCAATAATTAATATTAATTTCCTTTTTTATGAACAGTGAGAAACTCCTTCGGGAACCATGCACTTTGGGCTCATGTGATCACCTGTTTTGCAGGTAGGCCTAATCACACTTATTTATACCAGTGCTTGAGTCTTTGAGTCTTTTAATCCTTTATCAAGCTAAAGGATGGTGCAGAAATGCTACAATTTAAAGGACTTACGTTATCAACTTGTAGGCCTAACTCCTTGCTGAGAAAACAATTAGCTTTCTTTTCAGGATTTGAATACCGATATAGTTATTAATATTCAACGTCATCCTTTTGTTACTTTTGTCTCCAGTATAATTTTCCTCATTTGTTGAATGTTCTCTGTCGACAAGAGAACTTTTGCACATTTTGTTGTTTCGTGCTGCTGTTTTCTCATAGCTTTTTTATCTGCTGGTTTAGATCTTGTGTTGGCGCCCACCTCGGGAAGACGTGCCCCATATGCCATGCCCCAGCCTGGGTGAGAGATCTCCAGCTGAAGCGTGAGCTGGCCAGTGTTGTGGGCCTCTACGCCAAGCTCTGCTCCGTCATTAACCCAGAGGTCAGCAGAGGCAACAAAGATGAGAAGGTCACCGTGCCAACTGAGCAACAGGTTGAGTTAGAGGTCCGTGAATTGGCCAATGGTGATCCTAAAGCCTTCGTAGCCGTGGAGGTTGATGGCACCAGCAGAGGAGTGTTGCGTACTCGAAATACTTTCCCCGAACCGAAAACTACAGAGACAAAAGTGCATAAAAGACGGCAGTTTCTATCCCAGGGTGTAGGACAGAAAGAAGGGAAAAAGGGCTCGAGGACAGACGGAGTGGACGGCCTTCCTTTTGTCGTCCGAGAAAATGAGAAGAATAGAGTGCCTTTGGCCAGCTCTTCCAGCAGCGAGAGTGATATCCTTGATGCCATGTCTGTTTACGACTTTGTTCCCTCCCCGCAACGCCCCAAGCCCGCTGCCAAGAAGCGGGCCAGGAGGCAGGACGCAAAAGTGGTCAAGCGGCAGCGGGTGGCCGCGGCCAACCTCCGCTGGCTACGCGGCGATTTTGCCCCAAGAGCAGCCAGCGAGGAGTCAGAGAGTGGGTTTGACTCAGAGAGGTCGGCGCGGCACGTGTCGTTCTCCGTCGGTACAGACCAGGGGCAGTGTTTACACCAGAACAGCAGCAGTGCGGAGCTCTTGTCCCAAGATGAATGTCCTGTCGATCCCACGATCCCCACTCCAAACAGCACCCAGGAAAGCGGTTACGCGACGGCAAGCAATCTTGATGCCTCAAATCTTGCTGATGGAGACCTGCCCATGAAAGCCAGTAGTGATGCCCCTCTGCCAAACCGCTGCAAAAATCCTGACAGAAAAGCTTACGACCGTCATCTGCCGGGCGTCAGGCCAACTAGGCAGTCCCCAAGACAGACGCAGAGAGATCCTCAAACTGTACAAGCTTCCAGTTCAGCTCCTGCAGACACTGCACCCCTTACCACCGCCTCCTCAAAACAGAGACTAAACAAACGGGTCCACAACAAGAAGGCAGAAACCTCCAGCTCGGCCGAACACACCATCAAATCACTACCACTGCTGACAACAGACACAGGCCAAAGGAGACACAGGTCTTCACCTGGGACAGTTCCTAAAACACCTGAGAAAGACTCTCCCTCACACCTCAAGAAGAGGCAAGGCAAAGACGATGCATTCACCACAGACAGCAGTCCGCCCCCTCAGAATATTGAGGCCCAAAACGGCGGACAGTCCCACAAGAGGAGCAGGAGAAATGCAAACTCGTCGGCTGAAAACAGTCTTCAAACTCGGTCGACTCGTCAGACGAGAAAGAGGTCCAGTGCCCAGTCTCCCTCCCCGAAGGTCTCCCGTGAACCTGCGAGGAAAGAAGCTGCGGCACCCAGCTCCTCACAGAATGCCCATGGTTTGGAGAGGCCAGCAACCTCGCCAAGAAACGGCCGCGCCGCTGTGAAGAGGAACAAACGTGGGGAGACGCCACTGCACATTGCCGCCATCAAGGTCAATCCTTCAGTCCGATTGAGTTTATTACTTTATTCACACTCCACAGTCTTTTTACACCAGCGTTTCTTTTCCAAATGACTGATCTGAGTTGCCAAGGATTTCGTGAAGTTAAAACCTGAAGAATTTACCCGCATCTGCCTAAATCTTCCCCTTAGCCTTACACTCGAGTTTCCAGAGTGGTTTGAAAAAGTTGATGAAAGTTTTCGATATTCAATTTGTTGTGTAAATTTTTCAGTGCGACACAAATCCGTGATGTTTACATGTGCTTTGGAAATATATTTGGAAAACTTGAGAGATGACCTTTACAGTTTTTCTGAACACCGTTACGGGAACTGCCATGGTTCGAAACAGAGTGTAAAAAACTCGGGAATAAGCCAAGTTTTGAGGACCAATTTCAATGGGCAAAGGTGTTTAAATTTGAACCTTTGCTTTCTTGGTGTCATTTTTCAGGGCAACCTTGGCACAGCCAGGCAACTTCTTCAGGACGGTGCGGATCCAAATGTCAAGGATAATGCCGGATGGACACCGTTGGTATGTACAAGGAAATTGTCACGGAAGTCACATAGAAAAACTTGGAAGCAACTGAATCTTCCAAATGTCACTGAAAAGTTTCAGAAATAGGGCTGTTCCAAATATTCCATGGGATTCGATCATTGAATATTCAAATATTTGAATATTGAAATGCAAAATTCGTGAAAAGGAGGGCAGAATTTTCCTTTGTTTTAAATGAGAAAAATTGCACTATGGAGGCTTGTTTCAAGCAGATTCAAATAAAAAGTGACCGAAATCTTACGACTCAAAAAGTAACTTCTTAAAGGATTTAAAAGGAATAGAAATTTTCAACAAGGCAAGAAGTATTGTTCATCTCTAAATCTTGCTAAATTGTGGCTGGAAATACTCCCAGACATGGGAAGCTATTATAGTGATTATAATGTACAATTGTGTGCATTATTGCAATTGATTTTGTACATGGCTCAATAAACAGCAATCTGCTGGTTGGTACAGTCAAACATTCGAATATTTGATCAAATCGAAGGTCGAATATTCAGATAGCGAATTATTCAAATTGACTCAGCCCTATCCAGAAATGGGAAACACCAAAATGGTATTGAAGACTCCTGTTTGTCTGATAAGAGAGAGTTTTTTTAAACCTACAAGAAAAATGTTACATATTTTCACAGACTGCTTTTAGTTTTGCTTGTAATAAAACCACTGTTTGAGGATATGAGAATAGTCTTAATTTTCCTCATAAAAAGCATGAGGCCTGTAACCATGGCCACGCATCCATCGTCACCGTTTTGCTTGACCACGGAGCGCTGATCAACACCCCTGGCTTTGAGCACGATTCCCCCCTCCACGACGCCGTCATGAACTACAGGCTGGACGTCGTGAAACTCTTGCTGGAGAGAGGCGCCTCGCTAGAAGTCAGGTACAGACGCACATCTTGAGCCATTGCATGTTTTTATACAAGTCTAATTTTTTTCCCTTGCCCATTCAATGTCAGAGATTTATTACAAAGTTTGACCAACTACAGTGCAGTTATATTCCAAGTAGAAAGATTAAAGTTGAATGTAGAGAAGAAAAACATTGAACTTTTTCGCCACGAAACTAACCCATTTTAGCATTCAAAGGCTGTCTATTTAAATCAATGTGGAATTCCTGAAATATCAGTTCATATTTGTATATCTGACGTTTTTATCATCTCTGACTTCCAGAAACATGCACGGTCTGACACCAGCTGATTACACAAATTCGGAACCGATGAGGAAGGCACTGAGAACTAAACCGCTGATCACCATGGATACCAACGCCATGGTTACCGCATCTCAGAAGTCAGCACTGGCAAGAAATCAGCCGGTGGTTCTCCTTGGAACAGGTTCGGCATTTGTTTCTCAAAACTTCAAATACTGAAGAGTAGAAAGTAACGCATCGATATGCACAACAGTGTAAATGGTACAGAAATTTGGTGATTATAAGGCAAATAAGTTGACCACGCTCAGCCTTTTTTCCCCTAAATTTGCAATCTTTTCAACTAAGGTTTTACAGAGAAGTTCCTAGAAAGAAATGTCATATTTTGGAATAATGAACACAATCATTTGTTTGATTTTATTCTTCTCAACCAGTCTTCGCCAACTTTGCTCTTTCCATTCTCATTTCTTGAATTCCAGGCCTGAAAGATGCCGAACGGAAACAGCTCCAGGCCTGCGCCAAGCTTCTCGGGGGCGGACGCGTCGTCAGCGAATTTGGGCCGGCGGTCACCCACCTAGTGGCCTCCTGTAACCGTGACAACCTATGCATGAGGACCATGAAGTACCTGAACGCAATCCTGGCCGGAGTTTGGATTGTCTCCTTCAACTGTAACTACTTGGATTATTTACAAAATTTCAAAAGTGGAGTGAACCGTATGTTTGATTTAAGCAAACCCGATGAGTGTAGTTTTTTATGTGCAGTAGATGCTTTCAGAGAATTCTTACAGCAAAATCCTGCCATGAACAGTCAATGTTAAGTCCCAAGTTTCTTGATCGTTTTTTTTTTTTTTTGGGCTTGTCTTCTTCCCCAGTACTTTTATGATTAGACCAGTTTTAAGACCTGACACAAGACTTAGGCACAAGACTCAGGCACAAGACCAGACACAAGACTGGGCACAAGACCTGACACAAGACTGGGCACAAGACCAGACACAAGTTGGGCACAAGACCAGACACAAAACTAGTCACAAGACCAGTCACAAGACCAGTCCCTAGACCAGTCACTAATGACAAAGTGAACGACAAACTGTTTTAGTTTTAGTTCATTTGAATAGCTCTGGTCTTGAATTCAGATTTGAGTTCTTGTGCTCATCTTGTGATGGTCTCAGAAAGTCTCGACTACGATGCTGCTACTCATTCCTAATGACTTCTGAACCTGTTCTTCATAGAGCTATGTTTTCTATCTGTCAGGGGCAGTCGAGTGTTTGAAAACAAAATCACGAGCTGCAGAGTGCAAGTTTGAAGTCAAGGGAACCATAACGCTGCCCTCTAGCTCGGGGGCCCAGAAAGGTCGCAAGAATGCCGAACATCAGGTGCGTCATTGCTAAGGCTCAAGAGTTGAGCATTTTTTTCACCCTGCCTTCGTAATCATACCACCAGCCAGTGAATTTCTTCAGGAACACTGGGCAATCTAGTCCTAGATTTTACTTAATACCAGGGCGCATTGCATTGTTATACTCTTAAACTAAGTAATATTATGAATTTTTGCAAGTGTTCCGAGGTTATACATATTCCTAGTTGTGTCTTTGTAAGTTTTTATTCTGCAAGTTAGAACGGTTGCTATAAATTTATATTTGGACAACGTTCATTTGAAAGTAGGTTAATTACTGAACGTAACGAATAATAGATTTTCGCCAGAAATTCAAAGCAAGAGGTTGAGGAATGGATTCCACATTGATTAAATCTGCTCTGTTGCTTTTTGTTTTTTGTCGTTGGTATTCGTAGCTTTTGTAATTAATTTGATTTTTTTCTGTTCTTTGATTTTGGTCGACCTAGCTCCCTGGACTCTTAGACGGCTGCCATTTCTACCTGCACAGCACGTTCAGCCCGCCCACGCCCTCCAGGGCTGAGATCGTGCAGCTCATCAGGAACGGTGGCGGAACAATCCTCAGCCGCCAACCCAAACCGGACGACGACGTCGTGCAGGCCTCGGCGACGATACCGTACCATGCACGCCCTGGATCCGAGCTGGCCGCCTGCTCGTACTACATCATCCACGACCACGGGGGTAGCAGGGCGCCCCCAAGGGTCCGGACAGGGAAGTTGTGCACGGCACCCGTTTCCTGGCTCATGGACTGCATTTCACAGTTTGAGCTTTTAGACTTGCCCAATTAATAATTGGGCATGGTGATCTGTGTCGCTTTTCTGAACTCATGTTGCCAGCCTAATACGAAGAAACAACTTAAAGCTTCCTGCCGAATGATTAAAGAAATTTTTAGACACCCAGGAAAAATTTTGAAACACAAAGTGATTCCGAATATGGAATCTTGTGTTGCAATTTTTGAAATGCAGTGAATATTTTTTGTTGTATAAATCAAATGAATTTGAAGGATTAATTTTGTTTCATGATTGGCTTGAACGCCCACCTCGCAGAACACAATTTTCAATCTGTCACCTCATGAACTTATTCATACTTTGCACTTAGAAACATTCATTATTTGCATACCAGAGTGAAAACATTTGGAAACGCTGATGAAAGCAGTAGAATTATGTAATTTTTTTTCTAGCAAAGAAAATATTACAGTTATTTTAAGGTTAAATAATGCTATCCATTTCAGAAAACTAAGTGATGCTTACTGTAAAGTCATTTAATGATTTCATAATACTTAAAAATAATTTTAGTGAACAAACTTGTAGTTTAAAATTAATTTGAACCACATCACCACAGTAGTGAAACCAAAAGATTGTTTCAGAGCAAGGCTTTGATTTTAATATGGTTTTCATTTTAATTTGAATTCAAAGGAGGTTGATTTTGATCAACATTCAATTAATTGAAATATATTTGAATTTAAGATTCAAATTGTCTTAGCTGTTGACAGTGATAAGAAAAGCATGTACCGAAATTGCCAAAAGAGAGCGCTTGATATGCTTTAAGTCATACGACTGTTTGGTACATGTATCATATTTTAGTCTTAGGTTTCATTTCTTTTTTTGGCCTTTATTGCAAAGAGTATTTTTTTTTAATGCGGGTTGGTCATGAAATTTTTCTTCATACTTGAAGGAGGGCTGGATAATTAACTAAGCCCCTTGTAAGAAAATGACATCAAAGTTGAAATGTTGGATCCACCAACCAATTTTGAACGTTTCAACGAAAACATCGCCTGTACTGATAACTTCAGGGCTGTAATCAGTAACTGTTGACCAATGGTGTTCTCGCTATTTGTAATCACGTGCTACTGTGGCATGAATATTCAGTGTAATTTCGTAAGCATTCTGGGAAAATTTTTAAAGATGGCGGCCTCCATGAGCACATGCCACATCAGTTGCGCTTGTAATCGGGTTCCACATTGCGTGCATTGGGGCACTAATGGACTCGTTGCTTTTGGTACATTTAATGCTGTGGCACTGTATGAAACAGAGGTGAGTTTCTTGTAGTTGGGAGATACTTTTAAGGCCTGAAGGAAGAATAGTCGTTTTCTTAGCAACTGGCCATGGGCGGTCGACATGGTCGATCGGCCGTGCATAGTCCGTAGAGTCGAGGCCAACGTGACCACAGAGGTAGGGAACACGTTAGAAACATGAAAAATGTTGACCTGTTGACTATTGGTTATAAATGTGGTGTTTATTAGCTTTAGAACCCTGTTGCTTTAATCTACATCTAAGGAAACAGAGTCTACCTTAGTTTTTGAAACAACTTAGGCCTAAGTGAACTTAGCGAAGGACATGAGAATGAATATCCCAGATTTTTGTCCACCGCCTGCATACCGCTAAAACAGCCGCCCAAAAATTTCATTATTTCCAAAAAGTTATTGTTTCGGTTGTTTTTCCAATTGGGAATGTTTAAAAAATGGCTGCAAAGTAAATCAGGAGTTTGTAGAGAGCCCACGTACAAATGGCGTAGCTCTCTTGAGTGGAATGTTAGTATTCTTTTTCTATTTTGGACGGGATCATCATATTAATAACTAACGCATCATATTAATAACTAATAAATAACTAACATGATATTACATAAAGTAAGGTGAAAACGGTTCTCAAAAATTCCAAAGACTCACCAAAAATACCTTCATCACCACCTACTTGCTTCCATAGATGCCAACGTCAAACGATTGAGGCTTCAATGATATTTCTGACTTTAAAGTCCGACTATTTTCGCTTGACACATGCTCAGCACTTAAACTTTTCGCCGCCTCCTCCCGTTCAAATACACACGTGTAGATAGTCCTGGCGCAATATGTCTATGGACGAAAATGGTCCTCTAACGAAACCGCAGGAGAGGCCCATATGTAGTCGGGGCACAAGACGTATTGACTGGGAAGCAGTCGTTGGTAGCACTCCCAGAAGTCATGATCAACAAGTCTTGTGTCCAGACCACGTAAAGCCCACTCATGCATACATCTTGGATTTTAGATCTTGGATTAATTTTTTTTTTTGGTAATGCCTACGATGGGGTGCCATCAACCCTGACTATCCTGCCTACTAGTACTGGCCAGAAACTCTGCTAGACGCATCAGTCTGCATCATTTGTCAAGTGGCTTGTCAGTGTAACAAGATCCAACTGGTCAACTCTCCCCAAGGCCAAACAGCTTGGGAGTCTGTGGTTACTAGCCACCACAGGATCCAACAGTGGCAGTGGTCAACGGGACTAGCTTGCATTGTCTCAATATGGGTAGATTGTTTGGCTGCTGTTGATTGCCAATTGCATCAAAAGCACATCAGCTGATGTAGTGTGCTGCGTCTGGCATGGTTCCTAGAGCAAAGCTTTTTGTTTCAAGTCGCAAATAATCAAGTTCACACTGACGGAGACCTGCTGACACCAGTGTCAGATTTTCAGCACAGCAGTCTTTTTTTTCCCCACAGTCATCAGATTCAGCGGGGAAAATTTGCTGCCTGCTCAGCGGGCACAGAGGGAAGGTCAACTGCGTGAGGTGGATAGAGTGTCCCTTCGTGGAGGAGACTGGACAGTTGGAACTTAGAGAGTTAGTGTCTGGATCCCAGGATGGTGTAATCATTGTGTGGAGACGGACTGGCACTCAGGTAGGCCTGAGAAGGAAATACGAAGATGCTGCATGTGTGTGTAATTATAGTTAACACATGTACAGGGTTTTTGTTCATTTTGGGTGTATGATACCACTTTTTAATTACCAAAATCTCTCAGATCTTCCAAAATTCATCAAGATTTTTTTGAGTACTTGACAGGATTGAGGAAGGTCAGAACCAGCAATTGTTGGCTTACACAGGGCTTGATGCCCCTTGAGAAAGTTAAAGGAGTGTGCCATGTGTAGAATGCTGGATAAGTTCAGTTACTAGACCTTTTCTGGCCACATTGGGTAACTGTGGATAACGAGGGTAGAAAAATGTAGCTTTTTCACTTAGACTTGCGTTTCTTTGACTCGCTGGACAGTACCAGCAACACGCCAGACTTACAGGTCACACGGGAGCCGTGACGGCTGTAGAGGCTGTCCACCTACCGGACTCAGATGGCCAGCTCTCCCCTAGTTCATCGACGCTCGTCGCCAGCGTGTCCGGCGATTCTACTGTGAAACTCTGGCAGAGGGCTGACATAGGTGGCGAGTTTTCCTGCCAGCAGAGCATTGCGCTCGGCAGCGGCTTTGCCCTCGATGTGGCATTGCACGTTCTACCTGGCACAAGCGGTAGGCGGGAAACTACATATCGTACAGAGGGCACTTGATAGTTGTTCTGAGTTGTGGCTATGTCCACATGGCTTGACTATGGCTGACATTTATACACACGCCTAATGAAGCCATGGGCTAGTGGCCTAATGCATTTCACATAAACGCATGTTATTTCTAGCCATTACAGATTAATTCAGACATGGCCTATCATAACCAATCAGCTCTGTCGTTAGACGTGACTTTGTACGATTATGAATGGAATTGCAACTCAAGAAGAATATGACTGGTTGAAGTAAGAATAGTGACAGAGGTGCATGGAGGCAGCGCACACAATCCTTGACATTACATGTGACATCTTGGGTACTGAAAGAATTGAATGTTTGAGAGGTTGTTCAGCCACTGAAAGGTGCCAAGATTGTTGAAATTCCTCCCCAGTGTGCCGCAAACACAGCTTCGGTACCCGTTCTGTTTTGCAGTGCCGTTGCTTGTCCTAGGCGGGGACGACATGAAACTGCATTTTTACCAGGAAGCCGGCGGCCACTTCACAAAATGTCTGTCTCTTGGCGGGCACGAGGACTGGATCAGAGGGGTAGAAATAACCGCTGACGGTAGGAAAAATCAATCGTGAATTGTTTTCAACGTAGTTTTGCCACAGATTTGTCAAGTATTTGGGGAAAGAGATTGAGAGCCAAGAACTTGGGTTACGATTGTTGTTACCCATAAGGGTGACGAAGTCCTGGAGTTATGAACAGTTCATTGCAAATAGATATCTAATGGATCTGTGCATAAACTGAAGAGGGCGCTGTCTTGCACTTGTGTATTTCACTAGTTCACACTTGTTGCCCATCTGGGAATCGGTGTATACCAGGGATTGCAAGGTTTCCCTGACCAATGAGAATGAAGTAGGTCAGGCAGGTCCCCGGTCCTGTGGGTCTTTATTATGCTCAGAAGGGAGAGGGTAGCCAGTTGCAAACTGGAAGCATGTGTGCCACTGGTCCCGCTTGTATTTAAGACTCACTACACACCAAGAGTGTTTCGCATCATCATGATGAGAGACTCCTTGAACAAAGAACTCACAGGCTAAATTTGCTGTTTTGTCTTCCATTTGCCCTCTGTGCAAATCGTTAAGATAACGGCGACCTACTCGTGGCCAGTTGCGCCCAAGATTGCTTCATCCGTCTGTGGAGAGTCGTGGCGGACCACAGCAGAGATGCAAAACAGGATGACGGTGAGCTGAGGCTGAAAGGGAATAAATTCCAAGCAGCTTGGGAAGGTAAAGTGTTACGTCAAAGATGGAACCCTCTAACTTTCTGAAACTTTGCCAGGGAGCAAATGAAAGACATGTCACCTGCTTTGTACTTGAAACGAAATGAGTGAGAGCAGTAAAACCAGCTGAACTTGCTTTGAATTTGCTTCAGTGCTGCCTGAATCGAACATATCTATCCATTTGCATTAAAAGCAGGGACTTTTTTTTCAACACTAAGAAGCACAACGAAGCTTGTGCCCTGTAGGCCAAGTTCCAGGTTATAGCTCAGAACCAACTCATTTGGACTTTACTGAATTTTCAAGTCCAATCTTCTCCCCCAGTGGTACATTCCTCGTTCTGGCGACAAATGGGACACCACTCTGTCATGCCACAGAGGCCATGGTCCAATTTACATTTTGTTGGTGAAGACTGTGCATACCTCCATATACCTGTGTATGTCTCAGTTTCATCAAGAATCACAATTTTTGTGGAGAACAACTTTCCAACTCTGACAGGAAGGTAACTGTTGATTCAGGTGACGAGGCCCATTTTTCCGTGGTGTTGGAGAGTGTGCTGGCCGGTCATGAACAGTGGGTCTATGGTCTGCACTGGCACCCTGCAACTTACAAAGGTACGATACAGAACAGTACACGGTTCAAACCATTTTTTAAGACAGACAGTATCAACATAAGAACTTTTTAATTCAGAACAAGCAGCGGTTTAAATGTTGAATTTGGAGGGGGCTGTGTATCAGAAACATTGTGTTCAATGTTATTGTGGCCGAAGTGGAAGTATGGGTGGAGTCGAACCCACGTCCACTCTGATGGTGTTTGTGCAAGATGTGCTCTGTAGGTCACATTGTTACCGCCCGTCTGCTCAGTGGACCACTGACAAATGTTTCAGCAGGGGGGAATCGAACCTTCGACATGTAGGCTGAGTGCCTGGATGCTCTGCTGTAGAAAGAAAAGCTCAATAGGTCCAGGTCTGTCAAGTCAGTACTTGGAAAAACTGAATGCTGACTTTGATGCAATTTTGTAACTGGAGGGATTCTTACCCCAACCCGGTGGTTTGCAGTCCAAGTGCTCTACCTTTGAAATTGTCGATTTTGTTCTTTTGTTTTGGTCACCGGACAGATGGGAGGAGACATCAAGAGCCCCGCCTACTCTCCGCCTCCATGGACAAGACCATGATCGTATGGAAGCTGGACAGCGACTCAGGGGTGTGGCTTGATCATGTGAGTCCAATTTATTCCTGCTGACCACGCCCCTTAGAGATCAAGATTCAAAAAGGGGTCCCTCACTTTTCAATAATCCAGGCCTGTTGAAGCTGTCCTCCAAAGTAATTTTTTTTCCAGATTACATCAATAACTAACTTCTTTTCTCGAAGCCATCGTGTTATAGATCGGGCCAATGAAATTCCTTGACTGGCTCATGCATATGTAAGGTGAATTCTACCAATCATCTCTCTTTTTCCTCTCCTGTTAAGGTGAGGGTAGGCGAGGTGGGTGGTAACACCTTGGGTCTGTTCGGATGTCAGTTTGGCCCGGATGGGAATGCCATCTTGGCTCACGGATACCAGGGAGCATTTCACCTCTGGAAAAAAGCCATTTCGAATCCAGACTCGGTGAGTATTTGTAAGATGCCATAAAAGGGTCTCCTTAAAAATCACAGTTGTGTCATTAACTAAAAGAACAGAAGTTTCTATGCTGCCAACTGTCATGATTTGAGTCTAGCTCTTATGCCCAATGACCACCTCCAAGATTAAAGTATTTGTTACCGTCGGGACAGCCCTGGGCAAACTTTTAGTGCCCTGTACTTAATTTGAATGACTGAGGTGTATGAATTTTAACATTGTTACAAGAATCTTTTTGAAAGGTACAAGTTTATTGTTATTTAATTCTTTTTGCAGATGACCGACCAGTGGTTTCCTGTGCCGGTGGTCAGTGGTCACTATGCCGGTGTGCAGGACATTGTCTGGGAGCCAGAGAATGGAGAGTTCCTGATGAGTGTCGGCTTGGACCAGACGACGAGACTGCACGCTCCCTGGCAAAGGGAAGGTTTCGAGGTAAACAAAAGTCAACAGAAATGAAGATGTCTGTACATCAGTGTTTATTTCAACAAGGGAAATAGAATTATGAGCGGTCCCCGCTAAATGAATCCTGTGGTCAGGCTATCAGTAAGTTTGTTTTAGTTTCCACAGCTGTGTGTTGTGACTTTTGGTACATTCCTCATTTTGGCATCCTGATGAACATGGATGTTATTAAAATGGAAAGTGTTGAGGATGCTGACTGATTTACGTCGCGTAAGATTCTTTCAGAGTCAACAACTTTTTAGGGTCCAGCAACTTGTTATTCAATTTGCTAGCTTGGGCCACCGATGGGCCATTATTTGAAAGGCTATTCTTGTAAACATGTGACCCATCCCAACAAAATGAGAGTAAAATTGCATCCCGCTCTGTCCTATTTTGAGGGTTCAAAGTCATATTGAAGTGGAGGTCAAATTTTGGGGTTTTGTAATATTTGGAGAGAAAAACCTGTCTCCTATTTAATTTTAGTGTTTCACAGGATCACATTTAAAATGTCATTTTCTTAGCAATTCTGATGATAGCATTATTTGTGCCCGGTCTGAAATGTTGAAACAATGTCGGGAACAAAGACGCCAAGCTGCCAGAATAATGTCACATTGTCACCTGGTACTTTTACCCTAAGTGTTCCATGTACATGCCATTGGAGAGCTCTCTTTCTGCTGAATTAAAAAATACCAATATCTCAATTTTTGAAAATTCCAATTGTCAGCTCATTTTGCGGTGACAGGTCACATATGAAATGCTGTAAAATTTGGTTCAGATCTGCTTGTGATGTGTGCCAGTATAAATCAGTGTGGATAATAAGATTGAAAATTTAACCACAGTCATCATATCACGTATATTATTTGAAACTCTATTGCAGTAAATAAGTGAAATGTTACGAGGTTTTGTTCAAATCCGCTTGTGATATTTGATCTTTGCCAAAAGAAATGAGCACAGATGATATAATTGAAGATTTACCCTGGTCATCACATCTGTTATATTTTTGAAGTAAGCAGTGACAAAGACTAAATTTTCTGTGGTCAGTAGAGAGTATTCATTGTTTGCACTGGTACTTGTTTTAATCTGTCTTTTTTGCGAGTAGACAACATGGCATGAGATAGCGCGACCCCAGGTCCACGGTTATGACATGCAGTGTCTGACATTGGTCAACCAATTCCAGCTGGCCTCGGGAGCCGACGAAAAGGTTCGTCTCCAGAACTTCTCTCATATTTTCACCAACTTGACGTTTGTGGGGTGTCGTAAAACGAGCCGTGAAAAAATCTGGTTTGCACAAAATAGTTACCAGCCAAAATTGGCTAAGCCAATCTTCTGCTCAGTGGATCTTTGCCAATTGTTTTCCTGGGAAACCCTTAAGCAATTTTTTATTTTTCTTTTTTTTTTATACGTTACTAGGTTGTGAGAGTGTTTGAGGCACCGAGGAATTTCATAGAGAACTTCGGGAGGATATCTGATGTGGACGTCAGTCAAGCTCTCAAGGACAGGGTAAGGGTTTTGTTGGAATTCAAACCAGGTTTATGTTTTCCGTTTGGTATACAGGCAGGGGTCGCACTTGGACAAGTCAGAGATCACGTTATTGTGTGGATGCTTGCTTGAACATGGTCAATGCAGTGCCTTTGTGGAGGTAAAAAAAAGTTTTTAATAACGTTCAATTTAGTTTTTCAAGTCATTTAAAAAACTACTTTATTTGTACTGTTGGGTGTGAGTATTCTGATTGAATACAAGACCAATGCCACAATATGGACAATTTAGGAGATCCAAAGCAGGGTTACCAGCTGATATCTCATGTATGTGATACTGCATGCGACTGGTTCCCAGTGTGTGATATTGATCAGGGTAATTTGCTACTCGGACACTCTGGAATTTTTTGGTTTCTCATTTTCTGCAGAAGGAAAGTGACATCCCCGAAGGAGCGAGCGTCCCCGCCCTGGGCTTGTCCAACAAAGCCGTGTTCCAGGGAGAGGCGGGCATGCCAACCTCGGACCGAGAGATCTCCCACCCCAGCGAGATGTACCCAGAGATCTATTTCAACCCCCTCGAGCTAGCAGGTATCAGTCGATGCACGCCCTGGCCCGCGACTGGTGAAAGTGTGAAAACTCACCATTCATGCAGGGCATTCACCCAGAGTGTCTGACGTGATCCTTCCAGAAAGTAGTCTATAGACATTGATATCGAGGGATTAGAACGAATGAACGATAAAAGTGACCAGAGTTAGTTGGTAGCTTCAATTTTGTGAATATTTAGCACCCCCTTCCATTTTTCTAACCTCAAGCTCCACCCACGGAGGAGCACCTGCTGCAGAACACCCTGTGGCCGGAGACGCAGAAGCTGTATGGTCACAGCTACGAAATCTTCAGCATCGCCAGCCACCCCAACGGCAGCCTCGTAGCCTCGGCATGCAAGGTGAGTATCGGACAGATCTCCTCTTTGAACGTAACTTCCTACTCGCCGACTTGAGATGGGTTGAGCCAACGCTCGGTGCCCAAGTAATGCCGGATGGTATCATTGGAATGTGTTGGGCAAACGCGTGACTCTGCGAGGTCAAATTTGGACGTCTTATTGGTCAGACAGCATTTTCCAAATCTTTTGTTGGGTTGAGATCTCCCACCCCAGCGAGATGTATCCAGAGATCTATTTTCAACCCCCTTGAGCTCGCAGGTATCAGTCGATGCACGCCCTGGCCCGCGACTGGTGAAAGTGTGAAAACTTACCATTCATGCAGTGCATTCACCCAGAGTGTCTGACGTGATCCTTCCAGAAAGTAGACAGTTTTCAGACAGTTTAAGTGGCCCGTCCCCAGAATGCATTGACAAACAGTGGTCTATTTCTATTAAGAAGAAAGGCCGATCTGTTCCCCTGTGTTCCTCCGTAGGCATCCAAGCCGGAGTACGCGACCGTGATTCTCTGGGACACCACATCGTGGCGGCAGTTGGGCCAACTTGCCGCCCACTCGCTGACCGTGACCCAGCTTGCCTTCTCCCACTCCGGCCGCCATCTCCTGGCCGTGTCCAGAGACAGGACCTGGTCGCTGTTCCAGGAGAGAAAGTCCAACCAGCAGCCAGGCACTGGTAAGAGAAAAAAAACGTTGGATCAAGTTGTCTGTTCTGTCCATTCTTGAGATCCAAAGTGATGATATTTTGACATGTTAGTCGTTCTTGTATTGTTCACATTTATCGTTTTAACTTCACCTTTAATGCCTCGTGTTTCCAGTAACATTTTGATCCTTTTCAGTGTTTAATTTTTCTGTAAATGCATCATTATACATATAATTCTCATTGCGGCTCTATAAAATTTTTTTAGTTATTTTATCCGGGACGTGGTTCAAGATGGACCGGTACGGTCTTTACCACAACCCTTGACATTGTCAGGAAATCAGAAATCAAAATGTTTGAAGGTTTTGGGAATATCATTGGGATTGCGAAAGCTTGTTTGTGTTTCTGTACTAGGCTTCAAATCTAACTTTTAAAACTTTTGAGAAGTACAAAGCCTGATGTCAGTTTCCGTCATGTTGTCTGCAGGCTGTCCATATACGTTGGTGGCGTGCACAGACAAGAAAACCTCAATCCACACGCGCATCATCTGGTCTTGTTCCTGGTCACACGATGATCGGTACTTTGCTACAGCATCACGAGACAAGAAAGTAAGTGGCTGACCTTTGGCCTGTCACCTTCCTGCAGAAATCGCCGGGCAGATGTTTAATTTGTCTCTTGGAAATTTGCAAAGGCTTCTTTTACGAAATTCTACACAATCCGGAATTATTCAGAGGTTGACTTTTTATAGTTCTCTGTTAAATCATTTTAATTGTACGATTTTATACGTGGTTTACAATGTCAATCTTATGATTGGAAATTTCCAGGTCATTGTTTGGGGTCAGAGGTCATCCGGTCAGGATGGGGAGGCGGCAGCATCTGGTGGTCTGGGTAACTACCAGGCATGCTCAGCGCCTGTGGACCTGAAGGATTCGGTGACGGCAGTCGACTTTGCCCCCACCTTGAGCAGTGTTGACGGAAGGTAAATTACGAGAGCATTTGTAAGTTCTAAGTGTCCAGACTACAATCTGAGCATTGTCAGCTTGAATAGGAGTGAAACTTGTCATGCCATTCCACAGTCTTGTTTTGCCTGGACTCCCAATCAACAGTACCAGACTATTCACTTTGTGGGCGGAGTAAAAGAAATACTTAGGGGAGGGGAAAAAACCCAAGTGTGATTTCTAAACATTTATTTCAATTTGCTCAGTTGTATGGGATGAGAGAACAAGTGTAGTCATCACAGCTTAACTTCTTGAAGGCTATCATGATGTGGCAGTTTTACAAGATCGGCAAAATTGTGCGCAACAAAACCTTGAGCGTGGAATTCAGCTTTCTTCAGAAAGTGTCTTGAAGGGCTTCTACTTTGATGGAAGTCTAAAGATGGATCTGGCTTTGTGCCCGAGTTTGACTGCGTGAGCTCCAAGTTGTCGATATTTCTTGCTTGTTTTATTGCAGTTACATCATCGCTGTTGGGCTAGACTCGGGAGCGATGTCCGTACTGAAATGGAACTCAGAGAAATCCAATGGCTGGCAGACGTGTTTCCGCTTCCCAACACAGTAAGTTTGACAAAAACCAAGGACAGGAGGTCTGACCACAGCAGGTTTTATTTCTCCAGGTTCCTGGCTGAGTATCCCGCTCTGCACTCGTTCCAGGATGGGGCCAGCGGAGTTGAGAGGGATCCTTGTTAATAAGCATTGACTTTCTGAGCGCCAGCCTGGGTATCCCAACCACACACAAGCACCATCAAGAAAAGATCAATGATGTCGAGAGTTTTTCTAATTGTGCACTTGATGCCGAGGCAAAAGTTCTTTGTCAGTTTCATTCATACCATGTACAATTTTGCTCAATCGGGGCTCATTGCTTATGTAGAATGGTAGAATCTTGAGATGGCTTGTATCGTTTGTATATCAACTGGCTTTATTTACCAAATCAGGGTATGAACCCAAGACCAATCAACCAAAGAATGGTCCCGGTTCTTGCACCACTGTAATTCTGTCATCTGTCACTTTTTATCAACAGGCTGTGCCACACGGCAACGGTCAAGAGACTGAGGTGGAGGCCAAAGGTCAGAGGTGAAGACAAGGGCCAGGATGGGAGGTCGCAACTCGCGCTGGCTAGCTGCGGTGCCGATGGCAGCGTACGGATCCACAGTAACACACACAACTCGTTATAAACGTCGGTCACGTTTTAGTCTGAGTGTCGGTCTGTGAAAGTTTGGGACTTGTTTTTGTTGGAAACTCCCACAGTTTGCACATACTGGCATCCGAATTTGGTCAAGTCTGGTGTCCATTTGCCGATTTCGTGACATTTTATTTATTTTCACCCAAGGTAGAGTTGATCTGTTGTTAGATGTTTCAAAAGAAAAACCTGTGTTTCTGTGATAGAGGGCTGAATAAAATGTTGCCAGGTTGTGTTTGTGTGATGTTTGCCATGTTTTGTGTTTTCCTGTAATGAAGATTCATCTTGGGTTTTTTTTAGGAGAAGCCACATATATTGATGAGTATTTGAAATTTTGGCCCAAAACTTTGGAAGGAGAATTTAAACATTGGAGTTTTAATTAAGATTTGGCCCACAAATTGCATGAGGTTACTCTGGGATTGAAGCTGCATTTTTTATTCAAATTTGACTCCAACATCTAAAATGTGTAAGCCTTGAATTTTTTTTCTAATAAAAAAAAAATTCTTAAAATCTCAAATTTGTCATTTTTGGCCAAAAGTAAATAAAACTGCAAGGGGTTAAGCCTTCCATTTTAATGAAAACTGGATCAAAACTCTAATTATCCCCAAATCTCAATATTGTCCATTTTTGGCCAATTATATAAAACAGCAAGGATTTGCCTTTTTCCCCCCAAATCTCAAATTTGTCGTATTTGCCCAAATTTAAATCAACTTGTATTTTAATTGAAAATGACCTAAAATTTTGTTTTCCTTCAAATCTCTCGGTAACTCTTTTTTGGTCTTTTGACACCAATTCTGTGAAAATTGCACGTGTACGTATCTTTCTTGTTACAAGCGACCCCTTTTTCCTGAAAGAAAAAGCCAAAAAAAAAAAAAAAGCAAGTCTGGTCCAAGACAATTTGGCTCATCAGGCCGGCATGGCCTGAAGTGAGAACATTTCTTCCCTCCCTTCCCCGGATTGGATGCCAGTCCATCGCAGGTTGCTTCCCTAGCCAATGCTGGTACCCATTTATACTCCTGGGTGGAGAGAGGCAAGCAGGGGTGAAGTGGCTTGCCAAGGGCCACAACATACTGCCAACAGCTGGATTCGAACCTCCAACCCTATGATTGGAAACCGTAGACGGTTAAATTTTCAGTGACATGTTCATGATATAAAACTGAACACTTGAAAATGTAAATGTAGAAAGGTTTGCAAATATATGTGAGGTCTGAATATTTTGTGTATTCTCTGTCTTTTTAACGTATTGAAATTTGTTTTTGTTATTTAAATACATGCAAAGATGCTGTGCCCTCTGACCTTTTTTGAAATTGCGCAATCCTAACCTTTAAATATAAGTTCCGAAATCATATCTATCAAGAGGCCTACGGCCTGGTGGTTAGCGAGCTGGCTGCCGGGCCAGGGGATCCCGGTTCAAATCCC